CCACCAGGCCTGGCCGGTGTCCCATCTTTCAAGTGCCAAAGGCTGGGAATACATCCTGGTGAAGCTGGAGGATTGACCAGGGCAGGCTGTAAATCATATTTGGAGTCCCCTGCTTTTCTATTATTAGTTGGGCCCAGCAGTAAAAGAAATGGAGCCCAGGAAGGGAAAACAGGCTCAAGGGAGAGCAGTTGCCCACCTAAGCGTACGGGGCAGAGCCGGGTCAGCGCGTGGCGTGGCTTGGCAGAGGGTGCCCATTTCTGCTTCTAGGAGAGGTAACCTTCAGAATAGCCTCTTCCTCAGTGTGGCTTGAGCTCGGCAGGGAGAGAAAAGCTGTGATAATCCCCCTCTACTGCAGGCTTAATAAAGCATGTTCCTCTTCTCAACAACAAAGCCCTGTGAGAGAATAAGAGTCCACAGCACAGGCTGCCAGGGGAGAGCGAGAGCTCCTGCCACACAGAGCATGGCCCTGGACCCGTGGTACTATGTTCTTCCCTGTCTCTTCCCCACAACTAATTAAGAGCCGTCCATTTTTCAGAGCTCAGCTGAAAACATCGTTTCCTCAAAAAACCTTTCCCTGACCCCCAAACTTGGTTAGGTTTACCTAGTATGGTGGCTTTCCAGAATATTTTTTATTGATGGGACTACAAGTACATGCCACCACTCAAGAATTTTCTTTTTTAATGTGGCCCATAGTACACTTTGTGACCTAGCAAACAAATGTAAAATGAATAATGATGATTCTTGTCATCACTATATGTTACATAGACGTTTTCTATTATTTCACCTCAGTGTATTACAGAACCCTGTTTGGAAAAAAATCCTAATTCATAATTTCATAGAACTGTGCCTTTCCTTCAAAGCATTCAGCATACTTTTAATGATTGCTGGATTAATATCTGTCTTCCTCATAGCCTTCCTCATAGTATTTTCTATGAGGTTAGGGAGTATTTGGTATTTTGCTTAGCCTCAGTAGGAATTTAGTATTTGGACAATGAAAAATGTAAATTGGTTAGTAAGGACTTTTCCTTGTGGCACTTAGCACAACTATAACTAATGACTAATTATCTGTAGATCAGTCATTAAGCTTCTCCACTTTAGACTCAAATGCCAGGAGGGCAGGAATCCTGTTTTTTCCTGTTTATGTTTCTAGCATCTAACTGCAGTAGTACCCAGAAAATGGCAAATTAAAAACCATTTCCTAAAGAACAGTTCAAATCCTGGTACCCAGATTCTGGCAAGCATGGATGAATAAAGCCGAGCAAAGTGTCTTTTGTTCTGCACAGTCATGCCCTCTAACACCACTTGCCTCAAAGACCTCAATCTTTGCTTCAGGGACTATGAAAAACCAAGTTTATTTCAAAAAGCAAATGGAATCTGCATTGGAAACAAATTCTTCTGGGGAGCCACATGTGGCAAGTCAGGAACTACTGTGTGGATTCACACAATGGTAAGTAGCTCATTATATGGGAATAGTTTCTTGGTTCTAAGCATTAAAAACATTTTTAGTTGGAAATGTCTGATTTAATCACCAGTCCCCCCAAATTACTAATACTACATAGCATCACATTCCTTTTATATATAGCATATTATTATACTTATTTAAATGGAACAAGATATACTTCGTACTTACCTTGTAATTGGCAGAACTCCCCTGTGGACAAAGCACGTAGAAGTGAATTGCTACAACAGATGGTATAATCCTAGCTAAGCTTCTTGTTACAAACGTCACGTGGACATAGGAACATGAATGGTTTTAGAGTGATTAACTTGGTTGGCTTGTGGCAGCAAATTCTTTGACATCATAAACTCAGCTACTTGGGCTTAATACCCTTAGTAATTAACATATAACTAATCTATTTCTCTCATAGCTTCCTAATCTCTCCTCTATTACCTAATTTATTAAAAATATATGCTTTTATTAGAGTTCTTCATAAGTCCAGGGTCTCTTCTCCCAGGAAAAAGAACAGTCTTGCATATAGGATATGATGAATCAACAAATAATTGGTTAACTTCTGGTTAGGCTATGAATAATTTTATTTCTCTATTTTCATTCATTCATGTTTCATATATGAAGAATATTAAGTAAATGTATAAAAAAGACATGATTTAGAAAAGGGTTGAAAGCTTAGTTAATACAATTGCAGTTTCTGGTTCTATTAATTGAAAAGAACAAGAGGCCAGGCGTGGTGTTTCACACCTGTAATCCTAGCACTCTGGGAGGCCGAGGCAGGCGGATCGTTTGAGCTCAGCAGTTCGAGATCAGCCTGAGCAAGAGCGAGACCCCGTCTCTACTAAAAATAGATAAAATTAGCTGAGCATGGTGGTGCATGCCTGTAGTCCCAGCTACTCGGGAGGCTGAGGCAGAAGGATTGCTTGAGCCCAGGAGTTTTGAGGATGCTGTGAGTTAGGCTGCCACCCTGCACCCGGGCACGGCACTCTAGCCTGGGCAACTGAGTGAGACTCTGTCTCAAAAAAAAAAAAGATCCAGTAGAAGAGGAAAGTTAAAAAAAAAAAAAAAAAGAAAAGAACAAGAATCGACCAACAATAACAAAAGCAAAAGCAATCCTATTATGCAGGCTGTAGTCTTTTGGTTTTTTTTTTTTTTTGAGACAAAGTCTCACTTTGTTGCTCAGGCTAGAGTGAGTGCCCTGGCATCAGCAACCTCAAATTCCTGGGCTCCAGCGATCCTGCTGCCTCAGCCTCCCGAGTAGCTGGGACTACAGGCAGGCGCCACCATGCCCGGCTAATTTTTTCTCTCTCTATATTAGATGGCCAATTAATTTCTTTCTATTTATAGTAGAGACGGGGTCTCGCTCTTGCTCAGGCTGGTTTCAAACTCATGACCTTAAGCAATCCTCCCGCCTTGGCCTCCCAGAGTGCTAGGATTACAGGCGTGAGCCACCGCGCACGGCCTCAGGCTGTAGTCTTTTTCCACTTGAACAGTACCTTTTCCACTGAACAGTAACCAGGGCTTGTTGGAGAAATGACAGATCCCAGGTCTGGGGGAGGAAATGTATGTGAGAAGCTTGGGACAGAATACTGGGATTGTGTGGGAACTCAGGAACTTAGCTGAAGAGGCTCCCATTGGCCAAAGATGAGACAATCAATAAAGATAACAATGAACAGAAAAAAATATAAGATCCAAACTCATAATGATACTTAAAAACAAAACTCATTGGCTACCTTTACAGGATGGTAAGGAACCAGGTCATTATTTTGAAAACTAATAAAATAAAGGGAACCAAGTATTTATCTCTTGCTTTTTCTATATAAATTGTACTCCATGATAATCACATAGTTGATGAGGGGAAGTTTCTCTTTTTAGAAGTATTTCAGCTATTAACTGGAAGAATGACAATTAAACTCTATTTTTCAATCCCCAATGAATTCATGAATCTAGGTCCTATCAGTGGCTGCTAACATGACAAAAAAAGACAACCAGACATTAGTGCCTCCTGAATGGAAGGGCACATCATATCTGTGAAGTATTCTTGCCAGAAAATTCCAATCTAAATGTGATCAAGCTTTTAGATCAATGCTATCCAACAGAAACATAATGTAAGCCACCTATGTAATGGCACATCCCAAACTAATCACATTTCAAGTGTTCAATAGCTGTGTGTGGCTACCATATTAGTTTAAACACTAACTTATAGAATATATGCAGAAGGATATGATATCACAAGGAAGCAATCGGCAAGACCAAGACTGTGGGAACTCTTTAGGAACTATTTTGTCAAGAAATAAATTGCAAGGGAAAAAGAGAAAGAGTGACAGAGTATAAAAGTACATAATAGGGAGCAGGAAGGAGACCTGGAGATTACCAGAAATTTAACATACATCAACCAACAACATATTGACTGTATTTAGATTCTGACTTGAACAAAGTGTAGAACATTTCTGAGATAGGGAAATTTGAACACTGACTGGGTATTTATGATATTAAGGAGTTATTCATTTCTTTAAATGTGATAATGTTCCTATGGTTAAATTTTTTTTTTAAGCCAGTCAAATTTAGCAGTGGGGGGTTGAATACCAACTTTAGTGACACTAAGTGGTTAAAAATTTTAAAACCTGTTTAAAGCTACATACTGAAATATTTATGAAGTAATTTGATGTCTGGGATTTGTTTCAAAATAATCCAGGGTGAGTGGTGGATGTACAGATGAAACAAGATTGGCCATGAGTTGATAATGATTTGAAGCTGGATGATGAGTATATGGAAAAAAATTATACTATTCTCTTTATGTTTGAATATTCAAACATAACTGAAATTCAAACATTTGAAATTTTCCATAGTTTAAGTTTGAAAAAAAAAAAGACTGGGGTAAGATTATAATGACATTGCTCATATTCTTGAAAGTTCAATTCATTAAAGGCACTATTGAGTCTGTCTTTCTAACCCTGTAAAGAACCAGTGTAGTGCCACTACCACTATACACAGGCAATAAACCAGGAAAAAATTACAAAATAAAAACCAACCAAACAATAAAAATAATACTTATTTTATTAAAACCTTGCAGAGGCCTAATGAGAGGAAAGAGGGAAAGGTTTTTTCTCCACCAGTGGTTAAATGCTACCCTCTCCTTGGGCTCTGCTGCAGTTTTCCTCAGTCCCTCCCTCACACTCCCTGTTCCCATCAATGAAGATGTCTCAGTAGCAAGGCTGTCCAGATACCAGGACACCAAACATACATCATACAATTCATCTTTTTATTTTTCCTCTTCCTGCATTTCATCAGAGAGCAAATAGTAGAGATTCCTAACAAAAGGCACACAGGGCTGTGTGGTTATGTGAGGCTAATCATATCAGATTCTAAGATTTATAAACTCAGATATACAGGCTGGAGACATGTGGCCCTCATTCCTTGTAAACTCTACAAAGTATAATATATAAATTAAACAATGCAAATTAACAGAAAAGGGACAAAGATATTAGCATCTTGCCCCAAGAGCTTCAAACTACAGTACACAATATCGTTTCCAAAGTTGATGTATCGTTTCCAAAGTTGATGTTTCCTTTCCTGCTTACCAGAACTGGATTTTGCAGACAAAGTTTGGTGTTTGAGATTCACCTTCCTGTAGCAAATGCCTGTTAAATAAATTTGAATTTTGGAGCGAAAATGTGTTTCAATGTGAAAGTGTGTTAAGGGATTTGGAAGGCAACAAATTGGGGGCAAAGGCTCAAACTAAAAAATAAAAATGATTTTTATTTAATTTTTCAGAAATATAAATAGCAAAATAATTGGCAAAAACCAAACCAAGCAGAAAACAAAAAAATGACATGTTATATGATTGATCATCTCCAAGCACAACAGCATTTATTAATGAATATAAAAAATAAATGTTATTACTTTTATTTGCTTCTTTCCCAGCTTTGATTACATGGATACTTTTGGAAACTTGAGTTCCTAAGAAAATTCCACAGCTATACTGGCTCCTACAATGTGACTGAGTGATGTTAAGGTCCCACTCCCATATGGAAATAAATTTCCATCCTTGGGGATTCTGAACAACTAGATCCCTAGGAACTTAAAAAACAGGGGCTTCCATTAGGATCCTTCTAACATGGTGAAAATACAGCCTTTGTCCATTAAAACACAATCCAATTTAGGTACAGGTACTCTTTAGATTTTCTGAGTTCACATGAATACTAAGACTAGGCCACCATCTGTTCTGGGAACCCAGCCTGCAGTCACTGCCATCTTCCTAACTAGCAACCTTCCAAGCTGCACCAAAACTGAGATTAACAAAATTGAAGATAAAGCATTTTTGAGCTTTCCTCCTGGAAGTTAGAGGGCTCTTTGGGTAGGAATGGTAAGGAGGTTTTGCATGCAGCTTGCTTTCACTATTTCACTTACTCCCTACTGATAGAAGGGCTGCTAAATCAAATCAGTGCACATCTGTATTAAGTATCTGAGTGAATTGCGTGTACTTACCCATCACCACACAAAGAAGTTAGAGTAAATTAACAAATCATTCTGGACCAAGCCCCTTAAAACAGAGGCAAATTTGGTGAACCAAGGTCACTTCTTGTGGTTATAACCTCAGTTCACCTAAGTCCTTTCCTGAAGAAATATATTAATCTCCTGATTCAAGAGGCACCTCTGGCTAGCACAGAGCACAGAAAGAAAGCATAACTTCAGGACAGGGCAATGCCACATGGAGCTTAGAAGTTGTGGTTTAGAGTACAGCACAAGATAGCAGCATCGCTAATATTTAGAGCTGGAAAGAACGTTGGCTGGACCACACTCCTGGAGCATCTTTACTAATGGAGCTTAATAGCAGTTGCCCAGATGTCGTTGCTGGGGAGCGGGGGAAGCACCCATCCTTGGGGAACGAAGTTGCCTTTGGGATGATCAGATGGCACCAGGTACTGATCCCAATCATGCCTTAATAAGAACATTGTAGAACAACTGTTTATTTCTGTTTTATTTCAAGCAAGATGTTTAGCAACTAAGTATTCTATTTCTAGTATTTAGTTTTCAAACGACTGATGTACTAATTTGTTATAGAACCTGATTACTAGAAATTATGCAAAAGTTATATTTCTTTTATGCACAAAGGGAAAAACTCTGAAGAACTGATAACTTACGGATAACTAAATAATTATACAGTCGACCCTCATTATTTGCAGACACTGTATTTGCAAATTTACCTACTCACTAAAACTTATTTGTAACCCCCAAGTCATCACTTGTGGTGCTTTCACAGTCACTTGCAAATGTGCAAAGTGGTGAAAAATGTGAGTCATCAAAATGCACCTTCCCAGCTGAGGAAGACAACACTCACTCTGCCTTCTCGTTTTCAGTTCATACTGTAAACTAGTGCCCTTTTCTCAGTCTATTTAATGCCACCTTTTTCACATTTCTGTGATTTTCACTGATGATTTCACTGTTTAAAATAGCCCCAAGTGTAGTGTTCCTAAGTGCAAGAAGGCTGTGATGTGCCTTGTGTAGAAAATATGTCGGACAAGCTTCATACAGGCATGCCGTAACTATGAGTTGAGTTCAATGTTAATGAATCAACAACATATATTAAATAAGGTGTCTTTAAACAGAAACACACCTTGATCAGTTGATAAAAACATTGTGACCAGGGGCTCACAGGAATCTACTTAAGCCTATATTTTCTTTAGGAGTGGTGGTTCAGTATTCTGCAATACAGTGTTTTCCGGGACATTATAGAACACAGCTGCCATGAATGAGAATCGACTGTACTTATGTTTAAAGCTAAAACTTATATATTAGCCCAAAATAAGCTTTTCCCAGAACATTAACTTGGTATGCTAAACAGCATTCTTGCATGAGAATCACAAATTGCTGGGTTTGGAAGGGACCTCATAGATCACTTAGTTTGGTGATTTACAAACCATACTTTAAAGACCCCTAGGCCCCAAGTGGATGTCTGGGGGAGTCAAGAAACAACGAAGTGCTTACAGGAAACAGCAGATTTGAACTGCCTGGGGAACCCATTCATTCAATTTGTTATACATTTTGATTTCTCAAAAGATAGCATTCAGGAAGAGTCCTGCTGCTAATGTTTGAAGGCCACATTGTAGTCCACCATCTTTACTTTACAGGTGAGGAAAGTGAGACCCAGAGAATTGAAAACTACCCAGCTCATTAGTAACTGCAGATTCAGATGAGGCTCCTGTTCCCAGGTTACTGGGCTTTGACCTATAATAGCTCAGAAGTCAGTATGGGTCATAAGCAGTTTCCATAGGCAAGTACGTAGGGGAGGGTTTCTTTTCCTGGGCCTGTTTAGCACCATTAGAGAATTAGGAAAAGGAAGCCAATGTTTTAAATCAATGTTAACAGCTATAACATGAGATAATACAAAAGGGCAAGTCACAGCCTGAGTTTCAGTTTCTTCACCTGTTAATATAGGGACATCTATTTCTCAAGGATTAATGAGGACCAAACAAGATGTAGGTAGCATTCTTGAAACTTGGAAATATTATAAACTCATAAAGAACTTTAAAAAAAGATATAGTAATAGACCTCAACAATACAAGCACTTCATCAAGCACTTCTTGCTACCTAAGGGAAAGGCAACACCGACAGCCAGCCCCTCTGACCTGATCTGGATGAGCGCTGGCAGGGAGTGCTCGGCTTGGAGGTAATACTGTCGGAAAGGCTGCAAGAGGTGAGCAAGTGGGAACTCGTCTGAAAGAGAAAAGGCACAGTACCACATCATCCTACTTGATACTAGAGTAGATTTCTCAAGGCAAGGGGATTGAGCCTATGATTATGACAATGTGATCAAATGCTTTTCGTCTGTAGCCACGGGTTCCACGTTTAGAGTTTCAAATCTGAAGGTGTCATTTTTTGCCTACCACCTCTTAGCTTAAGTTGAGATCACCCATAATAACCACTGTCAATCTAGTATTTTCCTTTTTTCCACTGGTTACAGAGAGACTTACCTGGATCCCCAAATAACTTGGACTCAATTTCACGTTTCTGAAGCAAAAATTTCTCTTTTTCTTTTCTCTGTTTCTTTTCTAATTCTCTTTTCCTCTCTTCCTCTTGTTCTCCTTCCAACATAACCCTAAGGGCTCTCTCTTCAGCTTCATACAGTTCAGAACGTTTTTTAATGAGTTTTCTCAGGCGCTGAAGATGATGCTCAAAAGTCTCATCTGCGGAGGCTGGAGGACAGACCCCTGCATAAAAAGAGCCAAATGGCATTTTAGATACAACTTGTTATCCTCAAATCCATGTTCTAATGAGCAGACTCAAAGTCCTACCCATGCTATAAATTTGCCTAGAATTTGGAATCTACCCCATCTTTAAGGCTCAATTTGATTCTTTTGAATTTCCAATTACTGACCCTACCTGCCTCTAAGTGCTGCCTCTGGATCACACCACTTAACTTTTGGCTTTGTTTCTTTCTTACAGATTGATTCTCCACTTGGGACAGTGAACTCTGTAAAGGGAGGAACTTGTCTTAACTTCATTGTTTGGGAAATTCCCTAATTATCAACTCCCAGACCTAACTAATAAACAATTCTCCCTCTGAGTCTGAATTTTGAGAAGCCACGCTTGGATGGTGAAGAAGAAGATACGCATAATCACAATGGCCTTACAGTCTGTTGCTGACAGCAGGGCAAACTAAACTGTTTTAATTTGCCTACTTTTAGCACTGAAAGCCCCATGTCCCAGGAAACCTCCCAGTCCCAGGAAAACCGAGACTGTTGTCACCCTGAGTAGGTGAGGTCAGCTGCCAACATGGCTAAAGCTACAACTGGAAAATTTGATTATAGACTGCTTATTAGATGATATCAAAGAATGACTGCTTTTTTTTTTTGGTGTGATAATGGCATCATAGTTGATTGTGGGTACTTAGGTGTTCTACTTTTTTTTTTAACTTATTTTTAATCTTTTCTTCTTTATTTTTTTTTTTCCTGGTTACATCACTTGGGTTAAGTAGGTGTTCTACTTTTGTGTGAAATTTTTCATATAGTTTCATAGGGGAAAAAAATCTAAATTTAATGAATACTTGAGTGGATTACAGTTGTGCACTCACTACCATAATGGCTCTGCAATATAAAAGCTGCCGAAGCTGCTGGGTGATTCAATGCAGAGGATTGTGAGTGTGATCTATCCTGTTAGTCCTTGGAGGTTGACTGATTTCTTTATTTAGAGATGGGGTCTCACTCTTGTCTCTCAGGCTGGAGTGCAGTGGCCCAGTCATAGCTCAGTGCAGTCTCGAACTCCTGGGCCCAAGTGATCCCTAGCAGTTGGGACTACAGGCTTGTACTGCCATGCCCGGCTACTTTTTACATTTTTTTTTTTTTTTTAGAGATGAGATCAGGCTGGTCAGGAACTCCTGGCCTCAAGGAATCCTCTCACCTCGGCCTCCCAAAATGCTGAGTCCTTGAAGATTTTAAAGGAAAATGTATTTATTACCCAAGCACTTTAACAATACCAGATACAAGGAAAAAGAAAAATGCTAATCCCGCTACCATAATCAACCATTTTTGGCTGGGCACAGTGGCTCACACCTATAATCCTAGCACTCTGGAAGCCCGAGGCAGGAAGATTATGTGAGCTCAGGAGCTCAAGTCCAGCCTGAGCAGGAGTGATACCCCGTCTTCACCAAAAAAAAAAAAAAAAATTATTTTCCCATGTTCTCTTCTTATCCATATTAGCAACTTCATACAGTTCACCATAATATGTATGTAATTTCCACATCCCCACATTGATTCTCTATTCCTTTCCTGTCTTCATAACTATTTCATCAAATCAATGTATCATAATATACTTAACAAGCTTTAAGTATCTACTGCTGGACACTTGTTATTCCAAGTGTCCCATTATTATATAATGCTACAATGAATACTCTTGAGCATGTTATTTTTTTCCTTCCTATGGATTATTTCAATAAGAAAAATTCTCAAGAGTGAAAATGTTCATGGAAACTTTAAAGACCATCAAAAAGTGGCACTAAACTGCCTCCTAAAAGAGCTATACATTTACACAGTTACCTAACACTTGACAGAGAAGATAATTAATATTTCTTCGATGAATAAATGATTTTCAACGGGGTTTTAACAATTTATGCTGCCACCTGTGAAGCATAATATTGCCAGCTCTGAGCACTCAACTTTCAATTTTGGCTGAAAATTGTATAAAATAATGGTTCCTCAAGTTTAGTAGTTCTATCACTTGTGAAGTTTTAATTTGGAGGTAGGATTCTTTTCTCCATCCACTACAGATAAGTGGTTGTGGAACTCTCCTATCTTCACCTTCAATGCTAATATTTTTCTAGATCATTGTCTCATAACTGCTTTGCTTGAACAGGTTTCCAGTCACTCATTCTCAACTATGGAAACTATACAACTCAAATTCATCTTCTACTAAGTAGTCAGGCTAATATTTTCCAAGTATACAAAATTTTTATACGCTGACAAATGTAAGCCACCACTGTTGCTTTGTAATAAATTCATGGTTTTGTTTCCTTTCTTTACCTTTACAGATAATAAATATTTTAGGCTTTGTAAGCCATTCAGTCTCTGTTGTAACTACTAAAAACTGCTGGTACAGCAAAAATACACAGACACTCCATCAGCCCTTGAGTGCCTTCATACCCTATGAGGAGATGTGGCTTGCTCCCATTTCAGGCTGCTGGGCCACCCACCCATCTCTCTCTCAACCCCTCATTGATCACTCCCTGGTCAACTTCGCACACTCCCTTGGAAATGGCACTCCTTGTCCAGTCTTCCTCTTGACCCCACATACTGGTACCATCTAGGTTCCCTTCATGAATATCATTCATTCCTTTAGTCCTGCAGCTCCTACACACTAATGCCTTCGCCTCTTTTCCCCTTCAGCCACACATACCTTGAGGCCTCATCCAGTCTTCAGACCTCGGCACGTTCAGAAAAAACTTTCCACCTCTATAAAGTCTTAAACTCAATTATTCTCTTCTCTGACTACAACTTTCTCCCCTTCAGTACATTTTTTTTGAGACAGAGTCTTGCTCTGTTGCCTGGACTAGAGTGCCGTGGCATGAACCTAGTTCACAGCAACCTCAAACTCCTGGACTCAAGTGATCCTCCTGCCTCAGCCTCCCAAGTAGCTGGGACTACAGGCATGCACCACCATGCCCGGTTAATTTTTTCCTATATATATTTTTTAGTTAGCCAATTAATTTCTTTCTATTTTTAGTAGAGACGGGGTCTTGCTCAGGCTGGTTTTGAACTCTGGACCTTGAGCGATCCGCCTGCCTTGGCCTCCCAGAGTGCTAGGATTACAGGCGTGAGCCACCACGCCTGGCCTCCCCTCCAGTACTTTTATCAATAGTTCCTTCTCCCCAGAGACCTGTTTGTTAGCTTCACCAAAATTTCCAGACCTGCTATATCAATTTTATCCTTCTTCCACGCCTTCTTACCAAAACTTGTGGTCATCCCATAAATCAAAATCCCGATAGCATTATGTTCTGTACTCACCCCCCAGCAGCAGGGTGCCCCCGGAAGAATGCATTTGATTGTGTGGCCTGGTGCCAATATAAGGTGTCAGCTAGCCCTACGGCACCTCCCTGCAACCATCTTCCATGGTTTTCAGGATGGCTCTCATCCATTCTTCACAGCAGTTATTTCAAACCTTCACTGCTCTCCTTAAGCCCTACTTCTCTCCTAACTCTCAGCAAACCATCTAACTTGTTTTCCAGAGAAAACAGAGCAGCAGGCAGAAAATCCCTCAACCTTCTGCCCCCAACTGCACTCACCTGCATCACTACCCATCCTTGCCTCCTTCATTTTCATGCCTGTGGAGGATGGGTCCTTCTCCACCTCAATCCCTCCACCGGGGATCTGAATCTCCAACCTTGGGCGGGACCTTGAGCCATCAACTATCCCTTCTGCTTCTGACCCTTCCCCTTCTACTTGTTCCTTCCCTTGGCATTTGAACACGCTCAAGTTTTCCCCACAACCCTAAGACACATAATACCTCTCACCATAGCCACCCACTGCCAGATATTGATCTTGCTCACTCCTTTTCATCACAGGTATTAGCCACTCTGAAGACTGGCATGCAGAAGCCAATCACTTAGGTAGTGAATGAGCCTGGGTGAATGCACAATGGTCACATTCCAGCAAAACTTTATTAAGGGTGTAAAAGAATCACAATTTTCATTTATATTATAAACCAGACAGGGAAAATGATTTGCTAGAGTGGCATTTGCTAATTTGTGTACTCTCAAATATCTCTGGTGGATGCCAGGGCCTATAATCTACAACATGAGGCAGCAGCACGTGGTCCAAACCAGATGCAAGTGAGAAGGAAAAGACGTCACCTTAACTCAGATCAGGGAAAAATGAAGGATACTGCAACTGTGTTTGTTTTTGAGGGATAATGAGATCTTAAAATGGCGAAGATGGGACTGAGCCCACAAGAGCAAAGGTCCAGACAGCCAAATGGAAAGCACAACTGGGTAACTTCTAGAAAACCAGCTTGGCTGGAACAAACTTGTGAAGAGATTTGGACTACCTGGCTATGGTATCTGGTGCTTCCTCCAGAGGCAAGAGACCAGTGAAGTCTACTGAGTATAGAAGTGACATGCAGGGAAGCTGGGGACATCTACACAGTCTGTGAGGCACTCCCTGCTCTGTCCAACTATTCATATCTCTTCAAATTGCAATAATTCAGGTTTGAAATGTATATGAGGGAGCAGGCCAAGTTTTCAAAACTTTCTGGCGCATCAAGGAAGGGTAGGAAAGCTTTTGGCCTGGCACATGGGCAAAGCTGACCAACCACAGCAAGCACAATCAGATAAGCATGAACAGGAATGCCTAGGGAGGAATGATGAGTCAAAGGGAAGGTAGTGCAGTGGGTTCCCACAACTGCCTCTCTTTCCAACCTTAGTTACCAAAGACTAAACATCTGAGGCTTTCTGCTTCAAAACTCCTGAGGCCGCCGGGCACGGTGGCTCATGCCTGTAATCTTAGCTCTCTGGGAGGCTTCAGCAGGTGGATCGCTCGAGGTCAGGAGTTCGAAACCAGCCTGAGCAAGAGCGAGACCCCATCTCTACTATAAATAGAAAGAAATTAATTGGCCAACTAATATATATAGAAAAAATTAGCTGGGCATGGTGGCGCATGCCTGTAGTCCCAGCTGCTCGGGAGGCTGAGGCAGGAGGATTGCTTGAGCCCAGGAGTCTGAGGTTGCTGTGAGCTAGGCTGATGCCACGACACTCACTGTAGCCTGGGCAACAAAGTAAGACTCTGTCTCAAAAAAAAAAAAAAAAGAAGGGGAAGAAATGCAAACACACAGTTACCTTTCCTTGCTGCAGCCTCTTTCCTCAGTTTCCTTAGCTTCTCCAAAGCCCGAAGAATGTCTACCATTCTTTTGGTGTCTGCTTGTTTTTTCCTCACTTCAGATAATACACCATCAGCAGCAGCTTTGAGTTCCTGCTCCTGGAGGAAAAAAAAACCCCACAAGACCCAGTATTAACAACAACCTCACAGTAGAGAACAGCTGCCCGGTGGTTAGATTTCAAAAGATCAGGGTTACAAGAGATGCTACTGCATCCACATCCCAATTTCCTAGGCATTACATGACTCCCCTCAAGCCAAGGAATTATCCCCTCATCTTAAGGAGAGCCTCTCCTCTCTGCAGCTTCCAAATGAGCACTGGTTTTTGCTTGTTCAAAGTGTGGTCCAGGGAGTATCTGTGTCCCACTTGCCTTATTAAGTTAGGACTCTTCTGTTAAAAACACAGACTCCCAAGGAAGATAAGGAATTGGGTTGGAAAGGCCAAGAACTCTACAAAAGTCTTAGTGACAATCTGTGCATAGTTTGTACTCTCCTGCTTTACAGTCCCAAGGATCTCTTCCACATGACTTTCCAAACATTTGAACATCACTATCCTACTGGTCTCAAGATGGTTCACATGTAGACTCAATAACTCAGTTCCTCAAGCCACTCCTCATGGGACTCCATCGGCAATATCCTCACCATGAGTGGTAGAGAGGACCCTCTTGTCTAAAATTCTCTCTTCCATCAGTCAAATAAGTGCCTGTAATTCCAACATTACAGCCAATACCAACCTTTTCCCCTGTGTGCTTGGAGTATTCCCTCTGCCTGGAACTGCACCTGTTGCCTTCACCGGGCTCTGATATTTCCCTCACGGCTCAGCTCAGATATTATTATAGCATCCAGAAAGCTTTCCCCCAGTGGATTAGATATCCCTTCTTTGGGCTCCTACAGCACCTACAGTTGAAATCCTAACACACACGATGCTATACTGACATGATCTGTCATAGGGTTCTAAGCCCCTTAAGAACAAGACTATGTCTATCTCCACCATCCAGCACTAGGCCTGGCACAAAATGGGCCCTCATTAAATGCCTGCTGAATTGACCCAAACTCCTTCAGGTTAAAGTGTTGCCTCTCCAGGCAGTCTTCTTTAATGTAGTGATATTCCTGACTGTGCAACCAGAAAGCTTGCCACTGACATGCTTCACAGCAAAGTTATTTCACAGTGGCAGATAGTAGGAGACATTAGCTGATTGTAGAGGGAGGAGGTAAGAGAACCCCAGAGGCACTCAAAGTTAACAATGCCTTAAACAACTATTCAAACAATTTCCAGTTTCATCCTGGCCCTACATAAGAGCTTGAGATCAAAAGGATTTAGAATCAAACTGGGCTCAAATATGGAATGAAACTGCCACAAACTGGTTGTATGATGGTTGGCAAGTTAATCTCGCTATATCCCTCAGTGTCCTAATCTGTAAAATTTGGATAATACCTCCTACTTCTCTGTGTTGTCATAAAGATTCAAGATCTGATATACATAAGGACTTCAGCATAGCTCCTAGTTTATACATAGTAGTGCTCAAAAACACACTCAGCTGTTTACAAGTTTTAAACCTCATAGCCCCAGGTTCTGCAGATGGAGGGGTGGCTTGAGGCCAGCAGTTTGAGACCAGCCTGGGCAACATAGGGAGACTTCATCTCTACAAAAAATTTAAAAGTTAGTTGGGCATGGTAGCAAGTGCCTGTAGTCCCAGCTACTCGGGAGGCTGATGTGGTAGGATTGCTGGACCCAGGAGTTCCAGGCTGCAGCTATGATTGCACCACTATACCCCAGCCGGGGCAGCAAAGTGAGACTCTGTCGCTTAAAAAAAAAAATTGCCTTATCAGCCAATTAGGGTATTTACTCCTTGAAATAGGGCCCCCAAGCTCTCTACATTTTGTATTCTCAAAATCACCTAGGGCAGTACAAGAAACAAGGACCCAGACAGTCTTGAATGTTAGTAAGTGGACAGAAGTTGGCACAGGATAGAGGAGACCTGCCATTCCTGCAATGCCACCGTGTAATCCTATACTTTGTGTTTACGGAACTTTACAGCACACCTGGAGCTTTTGTTTTGCGTATAATACATCATCAACACGCAATTAACATAGAGGTATGAGATGGAAATACTATCTATCATTTTATTTTACCGATAAGGAAATAGAGGCTCAGCCCTGGAAAATGACAGCTTAAAGTCTCACGCCGCTTCACGTTCCAACCATCACCATCCCTAACCCCATGAGCGCCTGCTGCTCTCACCCGCTTCTTCTCCTCCACCTCCTGCACACACTTGACCCTCCAGCGGTCAATCTCCTGCTCGCGTTCTGCTGCCCGCGCGGCCTCCTCCTCTCGCTCGGCCTCCCGCTCCCGGGCCCTCTCGCGAAGCCTCAGCCGGCGGCGCCGGACCCTCTCCAGCCTCCGCCGCGCCTCGCCCACATAGGCGGCCTGGGTCAGCGGCTGCAGCCGCTCGGCCAGTTCGGCGCGCAGCGGCGCGACCTGGGCATGTAGCAGGGCCCAGGCGGCCCCGTCAGCCTCGGCCTCGCGCAGGGCCTGGCTCAGGCTGCGCAGCCGCCGCACCAGGCGCAGAACCCCGCGCAACCGCGCGCGCACTTCGCCTAGGCTGGGCCCGGCGTGCGTGCGCTGCGGCACCCGGCAGGCCCGTCGCGGGGTCCCGAACACCGCCTCCAGCCACTGCCGGTCGCGCAGGCGCTGGAGGACCGCGTCCCCGAGCACGTCAGGCGGCGGCGGCGGAGCCTCAGGCCAGCGCGGGCTCCACGGCGGCCCCGGGCCGGGAGGCGGCGGCCGCGGGCGCTCGCCGGCGTCGGTCCCCGGGAAGGGCCGGCACTGGGGCTGCGGCGGAGGCAGTGGCGGCGGCGGCACCTGGTAAAAGGCCCCGCCACCGCCGCCAGAAGCTTCCCCGGGGGCCCGGGGCTGCAGAGCCAGCGGAGGCTGGAGGAAGGGGGCGGAGGCCCCCGGAAAAGGGCCGGGCCGCTGGGGCAGAGGCGGCGGGAAAGCCGGGGAGGGAAGAGGCGGTGGCGGACAGCCGAAAGGAGCGGGAGGCGGCGGCTGCGGAGGCGGCGGGCCTGGGCGGCCCGGGGCGAAGAAGGGCGGCAGGGACATCTTCCCGGCGGAGATGCTCTTGAGAAGTGACAGAAATCTGAGTGGTTCTTCAGGAGAGTCTTCCGGGCGGAAGTGACGTATTATACGCGCGACGCGAGTACGCACGCCCCGCCAGAAAGCCCGGTGCACGACTGGGCGTTCGTTCAACCTTCAATCCTTCATTATAAGCCCTGTTTTTTACTCGGCGTTCCAAGTGTGGAGCTACTCGCCCCGCATACGGCGAGACTAAGAGATATAGGTTTTCCCCTCGTGGAACTATCTGTCTAGTAAAGAAAACACATTAATCGAGTAATTGTGCAAACGTGGATGTGCAATGGTGAATACTTGATACACTCAAAGAGGTTGGGGAAGGTTGTCGTAAAAGATTTGAGACTTCAGCTGAGATCTAAAGGATGAATATGATTTAAATAGAAGAAAGGGACCGGGCGCGGTGGCTCACGCCTGTAATCCTAGCACTCTAGGAGGCCGAGGCGGGCAGATCGCTCAAGGTCAGGAGTTCGAAAGCAGCCTGAGCAAGAGCGAGACCCCGTCTCTACTATAAATAGAAATAAATTAATTGGCCAACTAAAAATTTATAGAAAAGATTAGCCGGGTATGGTGGCGTATGCCTGTAGTTCCAGCTACTAGGGAGGCTGAGGCAGGATTGCTTGAGCCCAGGAGTTTGAGGTTGCTGTGAGTTGGGCTGATGCCACGTCACTCTAGCTCAGCCAACAGAGTGAGACTCTTTGTCTCAAACAAACAAACAAACATCTTTATGAGTTTCCCCATTGAAGATCCCACAGGATCCCACTTTTCCTTGGACTTGTGAAAATACTTACCCATTCACTTCTCCCACTTCCACTGCTACCACCTTAGCCCAATTCATTCTCTTTTCCTTGTTCTCCTAGTCTGTTCTCTCACCCTGCAACTGAAGTGGCCTTTAAAACTTAAGTCAGTTCCACAGACCCACTCAATTAAAAAGAACTTAAGTCAGATGTCATTTCTCTGTGCAAAACCTTCCAACAGCTTCTCATCTAAAAGTTACAGCCTGGAGGGGAACTAGAAACTGTAAGGCCAACTTTTAGTTTTGCTGTGAACAAGCTGGTCAACCAGTGGAAAGGATGTGGGTTCAAGGAAGTTGTGTTTTGTTTGTATGCAGATGAGAACTGATCTGAAAAAAGAGAAAACTGATGAGATAGGAAATAGGCATTTGTTGGATAATGTTGAGTAGACCTATAGTCATGTTTCCTTCCAGTCATTTTCCTCAGAGCCTGCCCTTCCCAACAATCCAAAATGCACATCTAATCATGGCCAACTCCCCTGCTTAAACTCCTTTTAATAATGCCCCACTACTTTCTGCAAAAAATTATAATTTAACGTGGCATAGAAGGCATTCTATTATTTGTTTAAAAATGTATGGAACACCAAATATATGAAGCACTATGGTAGGTGCTGGTAATAGAGTTAAGAGAGGCTTGGTCTTCACCCTAATGGAACTTACGGTGCTGAAAAGATAAGTAACTAAGCTTGGGAGATTTGGTATAAGACAGGAAATACTAGGCAGTGTTTAGATGCTGCTGGGAATGATTCAGAAGGAAGGAGACAGACAACGTAGTGGAGATATCAATAAAAGAATTAAAGGCCTTGAGAAATGAGAGGGGATGATGGGACCCAGAACATATGTGGAGTGATTGAGTTTTGGTTAAGAGGAATCCTTCAGTTTTAACTAGAAAGGTTGCGTGACAAAGTGGGTAGATTTATAGACAGATTATTAAATGGTCATCTCAGAGTATTAGCAGGGAAGTCATAGTTGTTACCTATTTTCAACTCCTAAGGCTCCCTATTTGTTGTTTTATACCTCTGAGATTTTAATTCTCATTATTCTTTTCTGCCATTTCCTACATCTTCTTATAGACCCATCTTCTGTACCACCACACTTGGTACCTCACCTCCACTATTAAAATGCACTGAAATTTGTGTTTATTTCTCCTACAAGAGTAGTTTCTTTTCTTTGTTTTTTGAGAGAGAACCTCACTCTGTTGCCCAGGCTAGAGTGTCGTGGCATCAGCCTAGCTCACAGCAACGTCAAACTCCTGGGTTCAAGCAATTCTCCTGCTTCAGCCTCCCGAGCAGCTGAGACTACAGGCATGCACCACCATGCCCAGCTAATTTTTTCTAAATATATTTTTAGTTGCTCAATTAATTTCTATTTTTAGTAGAGATGGGGTCTCGCTCTTGCTCAGGCTGGTTTTGAACTCCTGATCTTGAGTGATCCTCCCGCCTCGGCCTCCCAGGGTGCTAGGATTACAGGTGTGAGCCCCTGGGCCTGGCCAAGAGTAGTTTCTTGAAAATCTTGACCAGTATCCCTAGTGTCATGTTCTGTGAGGGACACTAAAGTAAGGATTTTCAATAAAAACCTTAATTAAATCTTGTGGCTCTACAACTAGAAGAATTTATTAGAGGCATATGAAGTGCCACGGATTAACCAATCCCTAGAATAAAGCAGCTCATATGACAGCAGTGCCTAAAAATGGCACTGCTTTGGCAGCGCTTGTTGCCGTCAATGCAGAGTGCTCCTGCACTGTTGCAGTATGGACACACCACCACGTTGGCTTTCATTTAGACCTTTTGTTTTATTCAAATGCCAAAACATAAGTTCCAAGATACAAATTGTAGTTAGACTCAGTTGTGTTTGATTTAAAAACATCAATTATGCTTTGTTAACAACTTCCAAAACCAAATGTAAGTTGTTGTTGACGAAAATGTCTCCCAGCCCATTTTTGGAGGATTACCCTCGACATGTTTAGAAGCTACTCTGGTCTCCACTCTACAAAAAGGAAAATGATGCTATAAGAGAAAGATAATGAACAGTTCTAATATGAAAGAACCATTATTAGGGAGACTAAGAAGGATACCTATTTCTGTGCCATATTATAGCGACTAGCCTTAAATACTCTGTAATACAAAGTGCATTTCTGGTCCTACCCCAGCCATAAATAGGTATCTTACATCCCTTTTATTACATTATAGAAGGCTCAACTTTTCATCAACAGGATTTAGAATTTGCTAATAGCTTAAGGTTCTTTTCCTAAACAAAAGTAGGTAAGGAAAACTCTATAAACAAAACAAAACACACAAAAATAACCCTCTGATTTGTAACAATTATAAATGAGAATGAATTGAATAATATAGAAACTTGTACCATTACAGAAGGAAAGAAAAAAACTGAAAAGGTACCCAAACCCAAATATTTTAATGATTATGGAATCAAATGATACAATTTTCAAGTACCAAATTTCCCTCTTACTTTTTAGTTTTGTTATATAATGAAGGTTAGTAACATATGTTAGTGTGACATATTCACTTTGGCAGATAGCAAAACACAGATTTTCTTTAATGTTCTATGAAGCCAAAGAATTAGACAAATGTTCGGCATAAAAAAACAAAAAAACTAGCTCAGTACTTTAGTAAACAATATCAGGATATTTAGTTCGGCACATAGCTATTGCTATGACTGATACTGCATGCTATTTATAGAATTAGATGTATAATCTTTTTCTGAAGATTTAAGCCAGACTTCAATTCCATCTACTCACTCATGGTACCAAAATGATCAAAGATGGCAAATAAATCAGACAAACCAGTAAGAGAATGGCCTTTTTTATAGTGCCAATTGGGAAGTTAGTGTCATGCATTAGCAAATAAGACTAAGAATACAGCTAAACAAATCATCAAAATATGGTTCTTGAGGGTATTTTTTCATGAAATTTTTAACAATTGGAAAACTACCTGGTCCAATTTTTCAGATGAATAAAATTCATCTGATATTTTCTGGTATTTTCATTCTGGTATTTTCAGGAAACAAATGTAAGTAGAAAAAGGTAACACTAAAGAATGGGATCTCAACATTTAATTTTAAAGAATTTATTTTCCCATTTGTAGAGTAACATTATTGTAAAATCCACAGTTATTGCACTACCTGCATTGCTTAAAAGAATTCCTAAGAATTTTGTTAAAGCATATTTTTTAAAAACGGAACCAAAATAATGTACATTTATCTCTAAACATTGTATCATTAAAGTCCACATAATGTCCTCTGTATAAATCAATGTGATGTTACAATAATATACATGATCTGATTCTTATCCTAAAGGCTTCTCTGACCATGTATGATAGCCAAGATAGATCCAATGCCTTTAATATCAGACTGTAGAGACAGTTATGATCCTAAACAAAAGAAGGAAAAGCTTTATATACAGGACAGGAATCTGACGGTTTAGCTGTTTGCAGCATCTGCCTGACGAGGCCATCCTTCTTCTTCGACACCCGAGTCATATTCCTCTTCGGAGGATTCTTTTGTTGGAGCCCTATAATGAAAAGCCATGTTTATTTGTTTTTTAAATAAAAATTGGAGGTCAACATGATTTCTAGACTTTGAATTGTAAATTAATCCTCTAGCTAATAAAGCCACAAAAATAGAAAATATTCAGGGCATTTTAAATATTGTTTGCATAGTGGTGAAATATGGGAAACAGATTACACAACCATGAGTTGCAAATAAATTTCCAACATTTTTCCTAACAAATTTATTACTGAATTAAATGGACAAGTCCTCAATTATTAAGGGTTAAAAAATCTTTTCTCCAACAAATAAAGTAGAATCTGTTATTTCAACTCAAATACTTTAATTTAACATATGTATGTGGTAAAGAAGCTGACTACTTCTGACTGAATCTGATCCGACTCAAATTAGTCAAAATTATGATTTAGACCATCACAATTCCTTTTAAAGTCACACATCGTCATTAAACAACAGAAATAAAAGATTACATCTTTCTGAATAACTGAGGCTGTTCAAAACCAATCAACTGCCTCCAAAGTTATCTTGAAGATAAACAAACATAAAACATATTTACCATCACAATTAGGAAAGGAGTAAAAAAAGAAAAAAAGATAGTAAATAATTTAATTAAAAATAAATAAATAAAAAAATAAAACATATACCTTGTGACTGAGTTCAACAGAAACCTAACTTGTGTGTAGGTAACATTAACATTAAGCCCTATGTATAATAAATACTTATTGAATAAATCAGGGTTAGTAAACTACTAGATTCTGCAAGCCAAATCTAGTCCATTGCCTCTTTTTGTAAATAAAGATTTATTGGAACACAAACATACTCATTTATTTACATATTGTCTATGGCTGCTTTTGTGCCATGAGGGCAGTGTTGAGTATCTGCAATACAGACTTTATGGACCTAATGTATTTATCTAGCCCTTTATGAGCAAGTTTGCTGACCCTTGGAATAGATAAAGCAGTGAAAGATGTGTTGAATTTATCAACTGATACCATAGTTCTGGAAGAAAAAATTATGATAAAGGGTTTTTTGGACTCGTGAAAGACAAAGTCTTTTAGACTTTTAGAGAATTAGTAGCAAAAATTCACTTTAATCTCATTTGTATTGCTTTTATGTCTCTTTTGATACTTTTTTTTAGGAGAAAAAAGTAGAGGCTGATTTTGAAGATCAATTTTCAAAAAGACACAAAAATAGTATTATTTTACAAATTCAAATTAGATTTTTCTACAGAAAACTTAAGATTATTGCTTCCCTTACAAACATAAGAATTTTTATATAATTTTTAAATGACAGACCAATAACCCACAGCAAAAAGGAGTTGATCCTGAATTTTAGATCTGTTCTGCCTTGAAAATATACTTTACCGAACATATCCTGGTTCCTTTTTTCCTTCTACTACTTCTTTGTCTACCTCCACACAAACAATATCAGAATTAGGGACTTCAAACATTGGTTCTAGTAACAGCTTTTCCTAAAGAGATAAAAAGTAATGATTTACATGGAAAACAGGTGACAAACAAAACTTTATAAATCACTAATTGAATCCACTCACTCAAGAAGTATTATTTCTCTCTATATTATACACTAGAACTGAGTGCTGAGAGCAATGTAAAAGCTTTTTTTTTTTTTTTTTTTTAAGAGATGAGGTCTTGCTGTATCACCCAGGCAGGTATCGAACTCCTGGGCTCAAGTGATCTTCTTGCCTCAGCCTCCCAACTAGTTGGAACTATAGACCCAAACCACTGCACCCGGCTCATATTCTTAATATTAAAACAGCTTCTACTAAATTGAGAGAAGTCGGCATGGCTATCGCACAGACACCACAGTGGGGAGAAGTGTCAGGCTGGTCCCAAAGGAAAGGGAAGGGTTCTGGAAAAGTGACTAGCTATCCATAATTAGCATAGCTAACATTTCTACTGCTTTTTACAGCTCACAAAGAGCTTGTTCACTTGATCCTCACAACAGGCGTGGCGAGGTGGACTGTGGCTCGGCAGACGTTTGGACCCTGTTTCACAGATAAAGAAACTAGGCCCAGAAAAGTTGTGGTTCATTCAAGGTCACACAGCTAGAAGGGAAAAGAGGCTTAGCCAGGTCTCAAACCAGTTATTTGGATTAAGAATTCTGGATTAGAGAAAAGTGGGAAACAGAGGGGGGAGGGAGAGCAACTATAACCAGGAGAGGTTCTGCTTAAGGTGGTCTCAAAATAAGAATTGTTTTGCTACAGTGAAAAGTAAGGATAGCCTAAAACAGGAAGTGCAACGCATTCTGGAGAAGGGTAAAACTGTAATACCAACTTCTGCACTTTTACAGATACTGTGTTTCAGATAGTCCTGGCCAACTTGGGTGAGTGGCATTTCTGGGTTCCAGCCACTCTCCTCTTCCCTAGTCTTGAAGAGGGGCAGAGAACATTAAGTGGGAGGTTGCAATCCTTCTGCCTCCGCCTCCCGAGTAGCTGGGACTACAGGCATGTGCCGCCATGTTCAGCTAATTTTTTCTATATATTTTTAGTTGTCCAGCTAATGTCTATTTTTAGTAGAGATGGGGATCCCACTTTTGCTCAGGCTGGCCTTGAACTCCTGACCTCGAGCAATCTGCCCACCTAGGCCTCCCAGAGTGCTAGGATTACAGGCATGAGCCTCCATGCCCAGCCAAATAATCTAGTTTTTGTAGAATAATGCCAACTTACCATTATGGACCTAAGGCCTCGTGCACCTGTTTTTCGTTCTAGTGCCAATCTGGCTATAGCTTTCAAAGCATCCTCAGTAACATTCAGTTCACACTACAAATACATAAAAAACAAGTTAGAATTTAGATAATCCTTTATAATATTTTTGTAATATTACCATATAGCATTTGATCTATTAACTATTACTACCTATCACCATTGTTGGTCTTCTTAGAATCACAGAATTTTAAAACTAAAAGAAACCAGTACCCTGAAATCATAATTAAGCAAATAAGTTCCAGAGGATTAATTAAACTGATTCAATGATATTCAGAAACACAAGCAGGGTCAGAATCTCTATGTCTTGACTGATCCTATCTCCTTTCAGACTAAAGTATCACTTAGACTTTATCACTTTCCTCCTAGAAAATCTTTATTGGGTCCCTATAACTAACTACATTTTAAAGAGTGTTACTAACTCTTTCATCCTATACAAGGTAAAACTTCAGACAAGTCTCTTTAAATTATCACAAATTAATAGTAGAGTTCAAATATTGAGATATTTTAAAAAAACAAAACACAAAATACTTGAACAACAGATTTTGTAAGATCTTGGTATTAAATATTACAATAGCTTTGCTTAATAATTTCGACTTCCAGAAAATAAGTGAAGCAACTATTTCTTATCGTGTTTTAGAACTCTACCTTTAAAAAGCACTTGTTTCTATATCAATTAACCTATGACAGTATCAGTACTGTAAGTCACCAGTTTGTTCTTAAGCTTGAAGAGGTATTCTAGATTAACATGGACTTTTTTCAACATTTACTGGATCTGTATCTTCACATATCACGACTGAATGATAATTTAGACACTTTTGCCCTCAAGCAACTTACAGTCTATTGGGTGGTGACACATTGGTAAACTAGCATTTATAGTCCAGTGTATGCACATGGTGCTAATGGAGCACCAAAGTAGGATCATCTAAATAAGACTAAAGGACCACTGAAAGATTTTAAGCAGGGGAGTAAAAGAATGAGCCTTGTGTTTATTCGTTCAACAAATACTTATTGAGAACTTAATATCTATTTGCTGGGAACTGTGCTCGATAATTTTTAAGTGATCCATTCTGGAAGTAAAGAGAAGATAATATTTTGGTGGTGGAGGTCAGACACAGACTAGAGATAGGCAGACCAATTAGGAAGCAAATACATGGGTCAAGGTGAAGAATGATAAAGGGGCTTGACTTGTGGCAGTGACAGTGGAAAGGAGGAAACTGATATTTAGAGACACTAAGTTCATAAAACCCAAACCATATGCTATCTGATTGATTGTGTGGACTACAGTGACCTCCAGGTGTCTGGCTACAGAGATATAGATATGAGAGTTAATAAAACTACCTAGACAAAAGTATATATAGTATGTTACAACAAAAGCATTTAGAATTTCGAGGCTGAAAGGACAATCCTGTGTGTCTGGCTTAAAGGGGCTGGGGTAGAGTGATGGCATCATTTCTCTATACTTGGGCTTTATGCTACAATGATGACTTTAATGCAAAAGAAATAAAGCCAAATCCTAAATTCTAATGTAACATAATGTGCCTTCCTTGATTCCAAGGTCCATATTTAGTGTGGAATAGGCTGGTATTCTACATAAGCAGGATTCCTTTTTAATTTGTTAGGCTAATTTACGTAGGATTTCAATAGCAAGAAAATCATTAACTAGGTATGAAAAATAAAAATCTAACCTTATCCATGCTGAATAAGGCCTGGTACTGAGGAATAACAGCATTACGTGGCTCAGTCAGTATTTGTACAAGTGTTTTCTCATCTAGGCTATGCAAAGGAACTACCACAGGCAACCGTCCCACAAACTCAGGAATCATGCCAAATTCAATGAGATCTCTGGCTTCCACGTGACGTAATAACCGATCTTTTTCTTCAATGTCTTGGTGAGTATTTGATTCTCCACTTCGATTAGCAAGGTCTGCAGCAGCTGCAGCCCTTCTGCCTTTTCCCAGATTAGAAGGTGTTCCAAATCCAAGATACTGCCAAAGAAATGATGCATATTATAAACAGTAGAATGAAGTTTCATTGCCTCAGGTACTTTACATGCATAATTCACATTATCTTTGCCACAACTCTATAAAGGTTCTATTATCAATCACATTTTACAAAGCAAAAAAACAGGCTTAGAGACATGAAATACCTTGACCAAGGTTTCGTGTTCAAAGTGGCAAAGCCAGAATTTGAACTCAGGTCTGCCAGCCTTCAGAACTGAGAACCTAACAACTATGTAATAACCAACCCTAAAAGAATGAATTCTGGAGGCCGAGGCTGGCGGATTGTTTGAGCTCAGGAGTTTGAAACCAGCCTGAGCAAGAGCGAGACCCCGTCTCTACTATAAATAGAAAGAAATTAATTGGCCAACTAATATATATAGAAAAAATTAGCTGGGCATGGTGGCGCATGCCTGCAGTCCCAGCTACTCGGGAGGCTGAGGCAGAAGGATTGCTTGAGCCCAGGAGTTTGAGGTTGCTGTGAGTCAGGCTGACGCCACGGCACTCACTCTAGCCTCTTGGCAACAAAGTGAGACTCTGTCTCAAAAAAAAAAAACAAAAAACAATGAATGAATGAATTCTAATAAAATTAGATAAGAACTATAAAAGAAGTCCCCAGAATAATGAGGTAGCAGGGTTTATATAAAATTTCTACAAGTGTGGCTTCTAAAAGGTGTAAAAAATATAAAAATGGAGATAGTAATTTTTTTATAACCAAAGTTAATTTTGTAATATTGTAAACTAGACTAGTACCTATGGAACAAGCAACCTTATGAGAAAATTATCCACAAGTGTCTTACATAAATGCTAAACATTCTACTAAAATTATGATTTTACGCTGCATGCATCAGCCTATGAGTTAGATAATTTACATTTTGTAAGGAACACATAAGGATGACATCAAAAATACTAACTTTTCTGAACAAGGGTGGAGACATAAAGGTTTAGATCTTGCTTCAGTCAACATAAACTGTACTCCAGGCCACTGTCAGAAAGTTTAATTTTATATGTCATACAGCTTTTGTCAAAAGAACAGAAGTAAGTGATATGTGAGAATATAGCCTAAGCTAAAAATCTGTTTGCAATGGACTAAATATTTATGTCCCCCAAAATTCATATGTCCTAACCCCCAAGGTGATGGTATTAGGAGGTGGGGCCTTTGGGCAGTCATTAGGTCATAAAAGTAGAGTCCTCATAAATGGGATTAATACCCTTATAAAGAGACCCCAGAAAAATCCCTTCTTGTTCTGCCACATGAGGTTACAGTGAGAAAATGGCTTTCTATGAAGAAGCAGGCCCTCATCAGATAGAGAATCTGCTGGTACCCTGATATTGGACTTCCTAGTCCCCAGTACTATGAGAAATAAATTTCTGTTGTTTGTGAGGTACCCAGTCTATGGTATTTTGTTACCACAGCCTGAAGATACTATTCTTCTAGCCATGTAGAGAATGCATCAGAAAGCAAAATATCCTTCATTCAATAATTTAAACATTATATCTGAGCGTATATAATATACATAACATGCTTACTTGATATAAATATGTATTTATATATAAATAAACATTTATTAAGCATTATTATAAAATGCTGGGGAAACAAGCCTGAAGACAGCCCTTATGCCAAAGGGGCTTATTTAGAGGGAGAACACATGAGGGCATTAAAATATCATGGGTACAATAACAGATGACTGAACGGGGCACTGTGGCATTGGAAAGGAAAAAATTTCATGTATTGGGGAGAGAAGCAACCAAGAAAGCCTTTATAGAGGAACATTATTCACTTAATAGTCTGAGTTTTAAAAGATGAACCGGTATTTTGCCTACTGAATTGAGATAGAGGAGAGCATTAGCAAAGGCAAGAAGAATATGTTTAGGACTGTAAGCAGTTTTATAAGGCTAAAATTTAGGTATATTATTTTATATTACTTAATATTATACCTTTTACTTTCAACGAGGGTTGATAAAAACAATAGCCACATGGATTTTTTTTTTTTTTTTTGAGATAGAGTCTCACTTTGTTGCCCAGGCTACAGTGAGTGCCATGGCGTCAGCCTAGCTCACAGCAACCTCAAATTCCTGGGCTCAAACAATCCTTCTGCCTCAGCCTCCTAAACAGCTGGGACTACAGGCATGTGCCACCATGCCTGGCTAATTTTTTCTATATATATTAGTTGGCCAATTAATTTCTTTTTATTTATAGTAGGGATGGGGTCTCACTCTTGCTCAGGCTGGTTTCAAACTCCTGACCTCGAGCAATCTGCCCACCTGGGCCTCCCAGAGTGCTAAGATTACAGGCGTGAGCCACTGCTCCCGGCCCACATGGATATTTTTAATCCTCTATAAAATCATTCTCGAACAGTCTCACATCTCTCTCTCTTTTTCATAAAGATCTACATGACAAATTTTTTATCAACTTTGCATCTCCTGAAGACCTCATATACTTCCTCTTTCAAATAGTAAGAACTAGGGCCTATGATTTCCTTCTAATTTTCATTAGGTTCACAGCTAAATGGTGTGACTTAATTCCCAATAAATCAAAACTATGAGTTAAACCTTTCTTGTACATGTTTCTGATTCTTTTTCTGACATTCACTTTAACTGTTCTGTTCTACATGTTTTCTAATTTCAAATCCTTTTTGGAAGTATTAAGAATTATTCATTACAAATCAATATCAGAACATGGTCTCTGCTTTGGTTACAGAACTTCAGAATAAGGTTATCTGTTTCTCAACACATACACAAAAAGATAATTTCTTCTAATTTGCTAGGGTAAATTAATGTAGAATTTCAATAGCAAGAGAAACAGGCCGGGCGTGGAGGATCGCTCAAGGTCAGGAGTTTGAAACCAGCCTGAGCAAGAGCGAGATCCCGTCTGAACTATAAATAGAAAAAAATTAATTGGCCAACTAATATATATAGAAAAAAATTAGCCAGGCATGGTGGCGCATGCCTGTAGTCCCAGCTACTTGGGAGGCTAAGGCAGGAGGATTGCTTGAGCCCAGGAGTTTGAGGTTGCTGTGAGCTAGGCTGACATCACGGCACTCACTCTAGCCTGGGCAACAAAGTGAGACTCTGTCTCAAAAAAAAAAAAAAAAAGAAAAAGAAAAACAAATTTTCACACTTAGTTAATTTATGTTTTTCCTGCTATTGAAATTCTAATAAATTTGCAGAAAAATAAAAATCTAACCTTATCCATGCTGAGTAAGGCCTGGTACTGAGGAATAACAACATTATATGGCTCAGTTAGTATTTGTATTTCTTATCTACGCTAGGCAAAGGAACTATATGAGCAACCATTAGCAGTATTATTATTATTTTTTTTACTACTACTGAACTACTACTTAAACTAGTACATTCAAGGCTAAGAAGACTTATAGCAAGCAATGTAGCAAACAGCTGATTTATGACATACTCATTTAGGTAGAATATTATATAATATAAAAGTGAACATTTGTGGCTATTATGTAAAAAACACAAAAACATGGAAAATATGGGTGTTTTCTGAGCTTCTTACCACTATGTTGACATTACATTTTATTGTAATCAGTCAACAAATAGGTATGGGGCAAGTACCTTCAAGATTTGAATGACACTATATTCTTTTATTATTATGTATTATTTGGTTGTTTATTTATTTTTATATATTATCATTATTATAAAACTATAATACTTCAAACATATATAAAACTAGGCAGGATCACAACCCTTCCCTCTAAATCCCAAAATGCTTCCCTCCATTTGTGAGTGTTGGCAGTGATCTAAGACCCTATATAAACTGGGGCAACGGAGATAAGCTGCTTATTGGGCACCAGTAAATTGGTCAGGAGGAATGGAATAGAAACTTTATAGATATAGCATCTAACTCAAAAAATAAAAGAATCCTTAGATAAAATATTAAATTGAACTCATCATTTTTAAATCTTTATATATGTATCTTGATTAGATAATATTTAGAAATCTTCTAATTTATTTCTCTGAAAAAAAATTTTTTTGAGACACAGTCTCATCACTCTGTTGCCTGTGGCTAGTAGGTGCCATGATCAGCCTACCACAGTCACACAATACCTCATATATCTTCTCTGTGCTCATAGCATATCCTTCTGCCTCAAGCCTCCAGATGTTGTCTGTTTGTGTATCTAAGCATGCTCTTATCTCTTATGTCTCAGCTAATTTCCTATTCTTTAGTGTTTGTCATTCTCTATTTAGTAGATGACGGGTTCTTCTATCTTCTTTTGCTACAGCTGATCTTCTTGTATCTCTCTTGTATTATCTTCAAGCTCAATCCTCCCACCTCTGGCCTCTCGCAGTGCTACGTAGGAATAGGCGGTATACTACTGTGTCCCAGCCGTACTCGTGATGAATTTTTAAAAACTAGGCATAGTTTTTAAAAACTAACTTAACACCATCTATAAGTTCTTGGAAACTGCGACTTTAAGGAAAAGATGTATAGCAGATCTATGAATAACATCATTTCCTTCTAACGTTAATAATCCGTTGTTTTGCTAAAGTCACAGTTTCTAAGAAACTATCAACAATGTTAAAACCTCAACAAGTGAGGGTTTACTTTACAGTTTTTAAACCATACACGTTTCGATCTGTCTAAGAAACTATATTCGGGTTGGTAATTAATTCGTTTTTTTTGTTTTGTGCTGTGTGTGTAGTCCTTGGCAGTTTGAGTGATATAGTAGTATTTGATGTTGTTGTCTCTTAATCTGCTTTAAATGCATCATACATTTATTCTCTTTCTTAGTAACTCCCTACAGGAGTACACTTTCGTTTTCATTTTTCCTCACTGCTATAAAACTATATGATCTGTCTAAGCCATTTGAAAGCACCAGATGCATCCAGATATTTGTGAAACAAACAGGATTTATTGTTGTATCAACTTGTACTGTTTCTCCACGCAGCTTTCGGGAATTCTTTTCTGGAACATTGACTATTGTGCCTTCTAGCAGTTTTAATAAACCCTAAATAAAGAATGAACAATTTATAGAATCACCATGTAAGTATATTATTTATTGTATTTTAGATAATGGGATTCAATGGGGAAAATAATATGTGGTCATGGTCAATGAAGATAACTAATGAAAACTCTCACATTTCTATAACTAACATGAAAATCTAATGCATTTATCACATTAATAATTCATAAATTTGTTTGAAATGATTATAGGACTCCTGAAACATAATTTAGGAAACAGTCTACCTAAGAGGTTGTTTTTGATGGTAAAGACATAACTTCTGACATAAAGACAGAATTATGACAGTATAAAAAAGCACCCACATATGGTGGGAACATTCGAAATTTGAAAATAGTTGAACCTATGTCTTTCACATTAATTAAAATTCTATTCTACTCCTAAACTTTGAGAATACCTATATTTTGAGATGTCTTATTAAAAACATTATCCAGCACATTTTATTATATGAGTGTTATCATACCTATGTCTCTGTCAAAAAAAAATGAAGCAATCATCCTCATCCTTTAGTAGTTTATGTTATAATCAGTTACCATTAAAAGATCAAGTTGACCAATAGATTATTGTGATTTCAGTTATGACTCAGCAAGGAATGAAATGCTATTTTGTATCTATCTTCTAACTAAATGGAAGGTATAAGAACATGTGCATAGTTCATTCATGTCTAGTCAGAACCAGAACTTTCTTCAAGAGTCTTCTAGAAATGTTTAACTGGGCCTTTGAGGAATAAAAACAACAAAGATTAAATTTCACTTTTTCTGTTTTTTAAGATATTTTTAATTTCCTAAGCAAGGTAATTTGTTATTAAAATCATCAACAACTTTCTTTTAGGATCTGACCTACTTTAAAATGGTATGTGGAATTTGGGGTGGCAGAAATAAACAAAATAGAATCTAATTGAATGTGAAACCAAACGTACAATATTTGGGAGAGGTTGATGTATTCCTTTTAGTGGGCTTGAACAAAATATTCAACTGCTTACTTGCTGAACGCCTTCTCCACCTACATCCCGTAATTGATGAATGCCTGGCACACTGCCAATCTTATCTACTTCATCCAGAAAGACAATTCCTATAAATTAAGGAGGATTCAATTTATAATATGAAAGACAGATACAAGGTAGGCTCAGCTTTAAAAGAGCGGATAGCTAGAGAGCAAGGTTATTTATTTAATCTTTCATACTTAACATATACAATGGCTTTGATATTCTAAAAATACACTCCTATCTCTCCCATTCATCATTCTGTACAACTGTTTTGTAATTTATTTTATAGAATATTATTTGGGTATAACCAAATCTCGTAAACAAGTTTCCTACCCCACTAAAGTTTCCAAGTCCTTAATAGTGCAAAAGCAGGAGGTATATGCAGTGCTGGTACTAGCAAAACTTTAGCTTACCCTTTGCCACCTATATCCTTGCCTTAAAGGAATTTCAACAGGGAGTTGTCAAGCTCTTCATGTAAACAAGGACAGATGATAGATGGAGAAAAGAGTAATGCAACATCTATGACATCCTGTAGGTCAACAGGCTAAACTGTTTCTAAACTCATCCAGCATTCTCCTTCCTTGCCCCCACCTCACCCCTTCCCTAACCTAAGCATTAGGACAGGAGTCTGGAGTGGTTATGGTCAATGAGCATAACTAATGAAAACTCTCACATTTCTACAACTCGCATGAGAATCTAATGGCCATTAATAATTCATAAATTTAATGAGTTAAAACAAGAAAATCAATTACAGTATTAAGGACCTAAAGAATAATAATTTGGCCTGTTTTCACCCTAGCAGCCATCTATGACAATAGGCAAGGCAAACTTTGTGGCCCCTAATTAGTATGCAGAAATTATATAACATAGGTACTTTTATGTAATTACAGAATTCTAGTCCTTGACTCAAAATAAGAATTCTATTATCTCTTAATATTAAACTAAATCTGGGGACAGGTAAACTATGCTGAAAACATACCTTGTTGTGCCTTTTCTACATTATAATTGGCATCTTGAAGCAGTTTGGCAATCACAGATTCAATATCTTCACCTACATATCCAGCCTGAGTCAGAGTTGTACAGTCACAGATAGCAAAAGGGACATCAAGGCATTTAGCTAAAGTTTGTGCCAGCAGGGTTTTACCTACAAATAGAAACAGTAACTAAACATTTACTAAAAATATACTGGTACACAATTTTTCAACAAAAATGCAAAATAAATTTGAATAGTATATAATAAAAAGTTAACTGCTACATTCTTTTTCTACTACTATTTAGATCTAGTTGTTATTTATTATTCCTGTTAAGAAGTTAGAAACTGGCCTGAAGGGCAACAGCAATGCCTCAAATTTAGCTTGAAGCCTCTGTAGACACTGATAACTTATCTGGAAGACTGGCTTTAGATTTTCTTCTCAAGAGCCAGAATCCCCCAATCATAACACAGGTTACAGAATCATTTATATTCTATTTTTTTAGCAGAGTAGTACATTTTCTCAGGAAGTTATTTACCTGACCCAGTTGGTCCAAGCAGCAAAATATTACTTTTTTCAAGTTTTATGTCATCATGAGAAGAATCCAATACTTCACCTCCTCGTTTTTCCTGAGGTATTTGTTGATTTACTTGTTGCTGCATTGATGCTCCTAAAGCATTGCCATGTGGGCTAATCCCAGCAATCTGAAGCAATTCTGAAAAAATGCCAAAGGAATAACTTGAGCTTCATTTAAATTTCCTTGAAAAAATGCCCCATAAAACCCTACATCTAAAACCAAGTATCTATTTAGAAAAATTAAAAATTTTTTTTTTTTTTTTGAGACAGAGTCTCACTCTCTTGCCTGGGTAGAGTGCCGTGGCATCAGCCTAGCTCACAGCAACCTCAAACTCCTGGGCTCAAGTGATCCTCCTGTCTTGGCCTCCTGGGTAGCTGGGACCAGGTACCTAAGACCTGGTAGCGTCGCCATGCCTGGCTAATTTTTTCTATTTATAGTTGTTTGGCTAATTTCTTTCTATTTATAGTAGAAACGGGGTCTCGCTCTTGCTCAGGCTGGTCTCGACCTCCTGAGTTTAAGCAATCCTCCCGCCTTGGCCTCCCAGAGTACTAGGATCACAGGTATGAACCACCACACCTGGCCAATTTAAATGACATTCTGTGTTACCCAAAAGGAAGAAATCTCAACTTATCTATTCACAAAAATTCACACACAACGATCATACAAGAAACCTCAAGCAAAGGGAATGGATTCTTTTCATCTTCTTACTTCTATAAATATATAAGAAGAACACACCTGAGGGAAGGCAGTACAATGCAGAATAGTGCTTAGGAGTTAGCTTTAGCTTTGGCTCCTTTTGTCTCTAGTTATATGATGTAGGTCATACAAACATTGTGTTTCTGTTTCCTAATCAATCAAATAATACCTGTCCTATCAATTTTAAACATATGGTTGGAAAGTATAAGAACAAAAATGCAATCGATTTGGAGGTACTTTAAAAGATAAATAAAAGCACATTATTATTATATATTTTTTCAGTACAAAGGAAAAGAAGCAAGGCTGTAGAGAAAGTGAAAAACAATGAACTGAGGAATTAGGGAACTAGGGTTCTAGTCTCAGTTCTGTTTCTGTGTGATTACAGGACCATGGTAAGTCATTTAACTTCCCTGAAACTGCTTCCTTACCTATAACATGAAAATAAGACATATAAGGTCTGTCTGGAAAGTATCAGTATCTAGCCATGTAATATGAAAAACAGAGACATTTATTGAAGAAGATACAAGATACAAGAAACACTGTACATAGGACAATGATGCCTCAGTCCCCTTCAAAGAAGGCACCTTGGGACCTCACAAGTTTTCCCAGCATCTGTTAACCTAACCCATACACATTCAACATTCTCAGGTGTTCTGCTTGTTATAGGCCTTCCAGAACATGGATCACTTTCAACAGATTCATGACCACCTTTGAAGCATTTGTGTCACACTTTTATTTGCACTGCACTCATTGCATTGTCCCCAAAAGCCTTCTCAATCATCCAAATAATTTCCGTGGTGGAATGTTCAAGCTTAATGCAAATTTTGATGCAGATTCATTTCTCTACTCCTCAGTCATTTTGAATGTGCTGGCCACATAGTATACATGCTCTCTCAATGGTGTCTAGTGCCCCACTGACTAGTACCGTGAAAGCGTCATTGTTCACACATGTACATCCCAGTCCACTCTCCTTGGCTGCCAGGTTACATAGGCGATGTGCAAATTGTTCTTGTTAATTTAATAATGGCCAGATACTTTCTGGACAGACGTAGTATGGCCTCTACAATCTCTTCCACATCTAAAAATGATTCTGTGAGTCTACCAGAGAAACCAAATATGGCAAATCTCACTAACTCTGGACCTATCTGAATTTCTGATTTTATTGGATCTCAAATGGATTTTTTTAGTTCCTTTTAACACTTAACTAGATGGGATTGATATTGCTGGTGAATTATCAATTTATCAGCTGGGTCCCTACAAAAATAAATCTTTATTCTCACTTTCTTTTGGCTGAGGGAAAGAAACAAAATAGTCTTTAAAGACTATCCAGATTTATAAATACCCAGATTGTTCCTGGTTCTCGGCATTTGAGGTTTCTATGATCACATCAAACTTATCTTTTCTGGGTTTATTTTTAGGCTTGTCTCTAAGAAATGGGTTAAGGATATCAGTATTTCAATGCATTATTATTTTAATTAAACCACTAGACAGAATAAGAGTTCACCAAGCATACCTATCATTATGATCCTATTCCATCTATCACTTTCAAATTATCTTCATACTTAAGGTAAAGAGTTATTTTATGCATCAAAAATAAGCATTCAATCAAAATTTGAATTTAATTAAATTGTGCTACATTTGAGGGTTAATGATTAATGAATAATACACAATGCTATGCCTCATAATTCATATAAGGCAAGAAAACTCAGTCTGCTATATGACATTAGTTAAATTGTCACTAGCAAAGTTTTTTTTTTTTAATTGTAGCACAATCTGGTTAAGAATTGTGACTATACAGGAAGGGGCTTGGCTTAAGTTTAGCTCTGCCTAGTGGGAAAAAATGATTTAGACAGAGTTTGGGATAAGCAAGGCTAACAGACCCAGGGCTTGCTTCCCTCCCCCTCTCTCTGACACATACACATATACACACACAAGATTTAGATAGATTAACAATCTGAACAAAATTGCAAGAAGCATATTAACCATGATATATGTATTCACTCAATGATCTAAGTAAAAAAAAAAAAGGGAAATAATTTCAATGATGCAGATGATGTATATCATTCCATTTTATAAGAATATGCCCCAGAGTAAATTTGAGGTGACTCTCCTATTCTTTCAGTTAGTCCCTACTCCTGCATCTCTCTCTTGCTGTGTAAGCAACTCTCTATAATGAGAAGGACTATGAGCAAACAGGCCAGTGTGTTCATTGCACCAAGCTCACCAGCTGTGTAGCCATGGGCAAATGACTTAAAATTTCTGTGCTTCAGTTTTCTTATCTGTAAAATGGGAGTGAAAATAATAGTTTCTATTCATAGATTTGGAGTTTGGAGAAGATTAAATCAATTAATATATGTGAAACTTTTAGAAAAGTGCCTGACAGTTTTACAAGTATTACAGAAGAATTACTATTATTATTGCTATTTTTCTAGTGTTTAATTATTTATACAACACAGCCCTTAAATGCAAGCCAAATATCTCACCTGGTGCTCAACTTAGGAAACATCGTTATGTTCCAATGATGGAGGAAAAAATAGCTGTGTCAGTCTTACTAAAAGTTGTAGGTTGGTTTCTAATATGTGATCTCCAAAGGGATTTACAAGAATAATTTTGAATATATATGATTTTGATCTAATGCCAAAAGTTAGGTTCTAACTTTAGAACCTAAAGTCCCATATAAAACACAACTGCACATGACAATAAATTATATTTAAGCTTTTGAAATATGTTTCTAAATTTGTTTTCCAACTATTTGAAATATTTGTTTTTTACCTAAGTTCTTTTTTTGAGACAGAGTCTCACTTTGTTGCCCAGGCTAGAGTGAGTGCCGTGGCGTCAGCCTAGCTCACAGCAACCTCAAACTCCTGGGCTCAAGTGATCCTTCTGCCTCAGCCTCCCGAGTAGCTGGGACTACAGGCATGTGCTACCATGCCTGGCTAATGTTTTCTATATATTTTTAGTTGGCCAATTAATTTCTTTCTATCTTTTAGTAGAGACGCGGTCTCGCTCTTGCTCTTGCTCAGGCTGGTAAAATAGTAGCTTTTAACACTCCTTGGTTCAAAGGCAAATGTAAAAGTGTCAAACTTAGCCAATTTTCTTTTAGTATTTCAATTACTAAAAGAAAAGGCCATGTGAATCTTTCTAAGACACCCCTTGAACCTTTACTCTCTGTGCAGCAACTGTATCTACCTACAAAGAAATGAGCACAAGAAATTAGAATGACTACTCTCCTTGGTGTATCAGGTACCTCCATCAGACCATCTAATGCTTACAAGGGCAATCCAGGGCTGGAAACAATGAATCAAGGATTATTCATAATTTGCAATACTATGTAAGTTTCATAAATACCAAAAAAGAAACTCTGGTTTCCGGCAAAGAATCACTAGAAGATAATATCCCTTGCCTCCTCAAAATTTCTTCTGTCACCTACAAGCAGGCCAATTCTAATTGTAGTTTGGCAAAAAAAAAAAAGATATAAAATAGCAAACTACAGATTTAAAGAACTCTCTTATTAATATGTCTATATTTATAGAGGAAAACTACATATAAAACTTTGTATTTCTCTAAATTATGCTTTGAGAAGTATCACAACAGAAAAGATAAAATACCTGAAATAACACAACACATACAAGTGACACAAATTAGCTATCAAAAAAACGACTCCAGGCCGGGCGCTGTGGCTCACGCCTGTAATCCTAGCTCTTGGAGGCCGAGCGGCGAGTTGCAAGGTCAGGAGTTTCGAACCAGCTGACAAGAGTGAGACCCCGTCTCTACTATATAATAGAAGAAATAATTGGCCAACGATATATATAAATTACCGGGCATGGTGGCGATGCCTGTAGTCCAGCACCGGGAGGCTGAGGCAGAAGGATCACTCGAGCCAGGAGTTGAGGTTGCTGTGAGCTAGCTGACGCACGGCATCACTCTATTGCCTGGGCACAAGCGACCTGTCTCAAAAAAAAAAAAAACTACTCCAGGCCTGGCGCGGTGGCTCACGCTGTTAAATCCTAGCACTATGTGGAGCCGAGCGGGCGGATTGCCCAAGTCGGATTTCCAAACAGCCTGAGCGAACACTGTCCTACAAAAAAATGAGAAAAAATTAATTGACACTAAAAAAAATAGCGGCATTGTGTGCATGCTTAGTCCAGCTACTCGAGGCTGAGCAGAAGATCGCCGAGCCGAGCTGAGATGCTGTAGCCAGGTGACGCCACGGTACTACACTCTAGCCTGGGACAAGAGTGGACTCGTCTCTAAAAACAAACAAACAAACAAAAAAAAAACTCCAAAGTTATATATTCCATGTATGATAAACAAATTTAGATAATATATATATCTTTCTTGGTAATACCTAAGAAGATATATACATGTCTATCATTATTACTGCTGAAACACTTTACTGAGGTATATGGCAAAAGAAAGAATGATTAGAGAGGAGGACCTGAGCAGAGGTCACTTACTTGTAAATCTGTACTCATCCTCCCGTCTTCTTATTTCTAACTCTAAGAAAGAGGATGAAAATGGCAACATGAAAATATTACATATTTGTTTAGTTTGAGGGAACGGTGAGTATCCCACTTCCTGCCCTCTTCCAAATATATTTAAAGGATTTGTTAACATTTTGTTCAGCTTTTTACATTATAAAATATATATGCTACATCCTTTCTATATTAAAACAAAACCAAACCATGCTTAATGATGGTTGTCCATTTGCTAATATTCACATTTGTGAAATGCAAAATTGGTATCTATTTTAAGAAAATATAATAATTTAAGTCTTCAATAATAGTTAAAATCCCTAATACTATAAATATCATAACCATTTGTTCTTCCAGCACTAAAATAGCTCAAATATTGATACATTGACTGAAGGAACCAGAAAAAATTTTGCTCCATGATTAGACAGTGCTTTTGGACCTTATAAAAATGAAGCTTCCAAGTCTTCCATTAGTTATGACTTACACTTTCTAAAAATAAAGTAACTGATACTATCACATAACTATTTTGCAGTAAGTATAGCAAATGAACAAGTATCTTCATTGAAATCAGTTATATATTCAGTAGCTACTAAAGATAATCAAAAGATATTGTAGTTTTATAAATTTAAGGAAACTCCTTCAAAAAACTCCTTCAAATTGTACAATGATGACTAAAAGAACCTAAAATGGATTATAGGCCTAAATCAGAAATCAGGACTCTCTGGTCAACAAAACGAAAACTTAAATATTTACATTTTAATTATTCATAGATTTTTTAAATAAAATCACTCTACTAATATAACATACATTACTGCCAATAGCAAGTTGAGATTACAGTATATTGGTATATTAGAATCTATCATTAATAGGAATTATGCTTTGAATCACTTACAAATTTACCCTTAACCTTGCACTCTGTAGCTAGGGCCCAAAGAAGAAAGATTGTTGGATATGTTATATTAAGGTTAGCATCTCTACACATCTCTGACATGGGCAAATGAAATTCTGTATCCTGAACCCAAAAGAGAAGAACTCACAGTTGTACAGAGCATGCAATGATCTATTTATGGGGAACTAGTGGTGAAGTCTATAATTCAAAAATGATGTCTCAATCTCTACCCCAGTGGCTTTCAAACATTTTTTACTGAGATCCTCAACAAAGAATACATTTTACTTTGTGATTCAGAACCCATGCACGTATAACTGAAAACAAAAGTTTTAAGAAACATTACTTACCTAACTACAAGTTAATGTAGTCTGGTTATTTTCTATGTATACCTATTGAATTTTTTTCAAAGAAATGCTCTTGGCAGTCTACCAAAGTGATTTCATGACCCACTAATGGGAAGTGACCTGCACTTTGAAAAATTCTGCACTATACTAAAAGTATTTTAAGACAAAATCAAAGAGTACCAATAAAGATTACTTCTTCTAAGCATATTGATCTCAATTTAGGTCAATTATCAAAAACACTAACCTCTAGGTGTTAATGATGTCTGCTTCTCAACTTCTGCTTGCTGTCTCAGATTAGCTGGGATATTATTATATATTCTCTTATAATGATTATACACAGCAACTGAAAGCACCTTCTTAGCAAATGACTGGCCAACGACATACTTGTCGAGGTAGTTGTAAATCTTCTTGGGGGGAGGAGGTGGTTTCTGTTGGAATGCCAATTTTACAGCTTCTGCTGCTGATTCAGGTTCTTTAATTATGCTTTTCTTTGAGTCTGCTTCAGATAGCACAACAAAAAAATGATGACATTTTTCACACTTGACAAAACGGGTGGATGCTGTAAAGAAAACAGAAATTAGTAGAGGAAAATAAAAATATTTTGATAGTGTTTAACCGTAAAGACTCACTGTAAATGAAAGCTATGCATTTGATAAAAGCAGACTTACTGTTTCACATTAGCCACACAGACTCATTTATACACTACATATACTACAAAGATACGAGTTCAGTAAACTACCTTTTGTTCAATTCCACTAGGTTCTTTCATTTTGTGATATACTTAAAAGATTGACTGAAATTCTTTCAAATTCCCATTAACTAAAGATAATTTTACAAGCCACTTTTAAAATATTGAGTAATGGCTGGGTGCAGCGGCTCACACCTGTAATCCTAGCACTCTGGGGGGCCGAGGCGGGAGGATTGCTTGAGCTCAGAAGTTCGAGACCAGCCTGAGCAAGAGCAAGACCCTGTCTCTACCAAAAATAGAAAAAAATTAATTGGCCAACTGATATATATACAAAAAATTAGCCGGGCATGGTGGCGCATGCCTGTAGTCCCAGCTACTTGGGAGGCTGGCAGTAGAATCGCTTGAGCCCAGGAGACTGAGGTTGCTGTGAGCTAGGCTGATGCCACAGCACTCACTCTAGCCTGGGCAACAAAGTGAGACTCTGTCTCAAAAAAAAAAAAATCATACAGCTTTTGAAAGCAACATAACGACAGTTAAAAGTAAGGATAAAAAGGGTTTCTAAATTTCAATGCATCAGCTATAGAATATATTGTGTTAAACCAAAGGTGATTTTTCTTTTTTCTCTCTTTTTCAAATATGCCTACAGGATATAGACATATGGACATAATTTTTTTTTTTAAGAGATGGGGTCTTACTATGTTGCTCAGGCTAGCCTCAAACTCTTGGACAAAAGGGATCCTTCCACTTCAACCAGTGTGCCCAGCTTAGATTTTTTTTTTTTTGGAGACAGAGTCTCACTCTGTTGCCTAGGCTAGAGTGTAGTGGCATCAGCCTAACTCACAGCAACCTCAAACTCCTGGGCTCAGGCGATCCTCCTGCCTCATCCTCCCAAGTAGCTGGGACTACAGGCATGCACCACCATGCCCGGCTAATTTTTTGTATATATTTTTAGTTGGCCAATTAATTTCTTTCTATCTTTGGGTAGAGACAGGGTCTCGCTCTTGCTCAGGTTGATCTCGACCTCCTGAGCTCAAGCAATCCTCCGCCTCAGCCTCCCTGAGTGCTAGGATTACAGGCGTGAGCCACCTCGCCAGGCCAACAAATACTCTTAACTCTTGGCCTAATTCTACAAATAATGGTAACTGGGAATCTCAGAAAGCAGCATGGTAGAGGATCTCAAATAGATACCGATAACAAATACAAAGGTAGTATGTCTACCTTTGTATGTTTCCTTATGTAATCCAACTAGAAAGATAAAATTGTGGAGAAAAAGAATTTTTTAAAAAACTGGAACTTTTCTTCTTTGGGAAAAGTATAAATATAAATATCTAACCATAGATTACAGGGAAAACTGCACTGGCAAGCACACCTAAATCTTCTAAAATAATCTGAATTAAAAAAATAGACTAGTTTACATCTAAAAAATAAACCTTATTATATTCAATCAATTTAATTCTTATGTTTCCATTCTTAAACACAAGGCAATTAAAAATACATTTTGAGTAAATTCTAATACCAAACTTTAAACTTTAAAAGGGCTCGTCCATGTCTAAGAAAAAAATCAAGTTATTTCAAGTACTGGCAGATTAACACAAGCCCAAATACATAATCACCATTTCCCATGAATGGGAAAGATGGTCAGTGCCTTTATAATAAGGCACCAGTTTACAATTTCTACTGATGGTAAACAGGGCAAGGATTAAAGGGCAGAGAAGCCTCCAATCTAGTTCAGGCTGTATGACAGGAAAATCTGGCCTGAGAACACAAGAACAAAATATTTCTCTAAGAAATTAGGTCAAAGGAAAAGATTAAGCACTAACAAATCACATCCTTCTTTGCTTACTGCTGAAGGGTTGCTTAAATTCAAAGTGAATATTTGCAATTCAATTTTACACTGAAACATGTTCAAAATATACTCAAGTTCAAGGATTCAATTTTATTTATCAAAATACTATTTTAGAAAAAAATATATAAGCATTGCAATGCATATTTTTTTACCCCTAAAAACAAGCAGCAAAGACCAAATTTTTGTTACATTACCAGAGGATAAAGAGACCTCTCTCCTTGAAACAATTACTGTACATATCCTATATTCCTTTATATAAAATACTGTCCCCAATAAACATGCTTATATAATGCCAAAGACAAAGACTATCTTAGTAAATGCCTTTTCATTAGATTGTCTAAATGAAAGTTCTTCATGATTCTGAACACATTTTGGGGCCCACCATGAAATCTCTAAACTATTGCAGAAAAGTTTAATTCTAACTCCAAGAGACACATAAGTACAGTAAGCCTTCAAAATGTATTACACACAAAGACTATCTGGTCTAGCACTCTGAGAGGCAGAGGCAGGAGGATTGCTCAAGGTCAGGAGTTCCAAACCAGCCTGAGCTCTATTCAAACCAGAACCCCGTCTCTATTAAAAATAGAAAGAAATTGGCCAACTAAAAACATATAAGAAAGGAATTAGCTGGGCACTCGGTGCGCGTATGCCTGTAGTCCCAGCACGTCTCGGCAGGGCCTGAGGTAGGGAGGATGGCACTGGAAGCCCAGGAGTTTAAGGGTGGCTGTAAGCTAGGCTCGACGCATAGCCACTTCTAGCCAGCGCAAGAAAGGGCACTATTAAAAAAAAAAAAAATGGATACAGGATTTAAATAGACATTTCCCCAAAGAAGATATACACATAGCCAATAAGTATATGAAATGATGTTCAACATCATTAGTCATTAGGAAATTGCAATCAAAACCACCAATGGACATACTACTTTCACATAACTGATAATCAAATAAGATAGTAGGTAAAAGAAAATGAGAGAAAGGCTGCGGGGCGCGGTGGCTCACGCCCTGTAAATCCTAGCTCTCTGGGAGGCCGAGGCGGGCGAATTGCTCGAGGTCAGGAGTTGGAAACCGCAGCCTGAGCAAGAGCGAGACCCGTCTCTACTATAAATAAAGAAAGAAATTAATTGGCCCAACTAATATATATAGAAAAATGAGCCAGGCATTGTGGGCATGCCTGTAGTCTCCCAGCTACTTGGGAGGCTGAGGCAGAAGGATTGGCTTAGAGCCCTAGGAGTCTTGAGGTTGCTGCTGAGCTAAGGCTACTGCCACGGCACTCCACTCTAGCCTAAGGCAAACGCAAAAGCGATGACGTCTGTCTCCAAAAAAAAAAAAAAAAGAAAAAATGAGAGGAAATGGGAACCCTCACAGCATTTTTCTTTTTTTTTTTTTTCTTTGAGACAGAGTCTCGCTTTGTTGCCCAGGCTACGAGTTGAGTGCCGGTGGCCGTCAGCCCTGGCCCTCACCAGCAACCTACAAAAACTCCTGGCCTCAAGCGATTTCCTTCTGCTTCCCAGCTTTCCTCGCCGACTTAACCTGCGGACTAACAGAACATGCGCCACCTACATGGCCCGGCCTACATTCTGTTCTAATATATTCAGATTGGCCAGTTAATTTCTTCCCTATTTATAGATAGGGCAGATGGCGCTCCCTCACCTTTGCTCAGCGCTCGATTTGGAACCTATCCTTAGAGCCAATCAGAGCAATCCCACACCGCCTTGGCCTCGCCAGAGTGCTAGGATTACAAGACAATGAGGCTGCCCGCGGGCCCAGCCCTCATTTTCTTTTTTTTTTTGAGACACAGAGTCATGCGCTCTGCACCCCCAGTAGAAGGCAGTAGTAGCATCATCACAGCTCACTGCAACCTCAAACTTCCTGGGCTCAAACGATCCTCCTACCTCAGCCTCCAGAGTAGCTGGGATTACAGGCATGTGCCACTGTGCCGCCTGGCTAATTTTCTATTTTTAGTAGAGACAGGGTCTTGCTCTTGCTCAGTCTGGTCTTGAACTCCTGACCTCAAGGAATCCTTCTGCCTCCACATCCCAGAGTGCTAGGATTATAGGCGTGATTCACTGTGCCTGGGCACTCATACATTTTCAATTATGAAATTGTATGGCTGCCATGGGAAACAGTTTGGCAATTCTGTAAAACCTAAACATAGTTACCATATGACTGACAACCCTAATCCTAAATATCTACCCAACAGAACTAAAACAAATGCTTGTACCCAATGTTCACAGCAGCATTATTATAGCCAACAAGTAGAAACAATCCAAATGTCCATCAAATAATGGAACATTATTCAGCCATAAAAAGCAATGAAATACTGATACATGCCACAACAGATAAACCTTGAAAACATGCTCAGTGAAAGAAGCTAGACACAAAATGCCACACATTATATGATTCTATTATATGAAAGATTCAGAATAGACAAATCTATACAGACAGAAAGATATTAATGGCTGGCAGGGCTAAGAGAAGAGAAAGGTGGAGAGTGACTAAGGGCTATGGGGTTTCTTTCTACAGTGATGAAAAATGTTCAGGAAATAGTGGAGACGATTAAACAACTTGGTACATACACTAAAATCACTGAGCATGAATTGTATGGCATGTGAATGATATCTCAATAAAAATAAATTTTAGAAAGGAAAGGACTAGGCCCATAGGTACAGTCATCCCTCGGTATACATGAATGACTGGTTGCAGGACTGCCCTCCTGTCACCAAATCCACACACACTCAGGACCTGTAGTTGGCCTTGCAGAACCTGCATATTACAAAAAGTTGGCTCTCCATATATGCAGGTCATCTACATTTGCTTGAATAAAAGCTGCGTATAAGTGGACCTACGCAATTCAAACCCTTGTTGTTCCAGGGTCAACTGTATTAACATACATAGCTTTAAAAATATTGCTTACTGAAAACAAGCAGTTTGCAAAAATATGAATATATCAGTTACACTTTTTAAAAAGTCATACATTCAATGAAGTATACTATAGGAACTGTAGCTTTATCTATAAAGTTCTACTCTTTTTATAAAGATATATATGTAATCCTCAAGTAATTAAAAATAATTAAAAATGACAAGAACAGACAATTACCTAAACAGGCCATTCACAAAAGAATTACAAGTGACCAAAAAGCATAAGATGTTCATAAACTAGAAAATAAAAAAAAATGTAGATATAAACAAAATACAGGTTGAGTACCCCTTATCTGAAATGCTTGGGATCAGTAATCTTTCAGCTTTCAATTTTTTTTTTTTTTTTTAGATTTTAGGATATTTGCTGAAATACATACCAGTTAAACATTCCTATCTGAAAATTCAAAATCTAAAGTGCTCCAACAAGCATTTTCTTATTGGTGCTCAAATAGTTGTGGATTTCAGATTTTGGATTTTCAGATTAGCGATGCTCCAGAGACTTTTATTATGGGTAGGCAAAATCAAGGGAAGAACGGCTCTATGCACTGCTGGGGCCTGCAAGTAAAGCTCCACAGAACAGGGATAGTGTCATGTTCATATCTGTGCATTTCCTGAGCCTAGCAGTGTCTAAATCAACAGATATTTGCTTACCAAATTTTGTACCTAAGTGTGTACTCTTCTCTTAGTCTTTCTTTCCACATTTTCTACTCCCACATTGTCAACCCCAATTAGAATTCCCAAAAGAAACAGGCCTTGAGTTGATTACAGAGTTTTCACACTTGGTCTGTTTTTTTTTTTTGTTATTGTTTTTTAAGAGGTCGTGTTCTTGCTCTGTCACCCAGGCTGGAGTGCAGTAGTGCAATCATATCTACCCCCGCATCTCTAGAATCTTATTAATCTGTAAGGAAGGAGTTTGGGAATCTATGTTTAACAGTCACCTTCAGTGATTAATATTACCTGGCAAATTTTGAAAACAATGCATAGAAGAAAAATAAATTTAATCCCTACAGAATCTCTAGTTGGCAGAAATGTATGGGATAGGAATTTCTGAATAGCAAATCTTTTTTTTTTTTGAGACAGAGTCTCACTTTGTTGTCCAGGCTACAGTGAGTGCCATGGCATCAGTCTAGCTCACAGCAACCTCAAACTCCTGGGCTCAAGCAATCCTCCTGCCTCAGCCTCTCAAGTAAGTAGCTGGGACTACAGGCACACGCCACCATGCCCAGCTCATTTTTCTATATATATATATATATTTTTTTTTAATATATATATATTTTTTTAGTTGGCCAATTAATTTTTTCTATTTCTAGTAGAGACGGGGTCTCGCTCTTGCTCAGGCTAGTCTCGAACTCCTGACCTCAAGCGATCCTCCCGCCTAGGCCTCCCAGAGTGCTAGGATTACAGGCGTGAGGCACCACAAGCCTGGCCTCCATTGGCCCTTTTACAACTGGATAATACAGGAAGGCTGAAATGATGGTGCAATATAATTTACCCTTGAGTCATTACCATTAACTCTAAATTGTACAGGCAATGAGTTTAGTATCTGTAGCATCATCTTTACACTTCAGAGAGTTACTGACACTAACAGCAAAAGTAGGATGGCTGATTTCTTCCTTAAGGCCTGAATCATCAATAAGTATCAGACCTTTCCCAGAACTGCATGCTTACCTCCTTTGGTAAGCACTCAGAGAAGAAAATTATCTTAATATTTGAATGACTGACCTTCCTAGCCATATAAGACACTCAATAGGTATTTGAAGAATGTAGTAAAAAATATAGAATAAATGAGTCTTGTTCTCTTTTAGCCCAATAATCATACATGATGACTCACAAAATCCAAATTTGAAATAAACACATGTAAGCAAAATAAAGAACCAAATATTTTTCTTAAAATTATCTCTCATGCCACAGTGCAATTATTACCAGGCCTGAAGATTTTTAGTATGTGGTGAATATAAGAGAGAATCATATAAGTTCACATAATTTATATAATAGACATATTTATACTTATATAAACATATATATTATATATTTATACAATTATATATTTCTGTACATTTAATAATTTCTAGAAAGGGTAAGGAAAAAGAAGAACACTAGAAATAATACTTACATACGAAGGTCTCTACATGCGTGCACAAGTCACCACATTTAGGACAGCGCAGCTGGTTCCCACCTTTCCCAGAATTCCCAGAGCCTGATTTCTTACTGCTTCCCTCACTCACTGATTTCTAATATTTGTGGAGGAGAAAAAGAGAGTGTCAATTAGTAGTCAATTCAGGCAACCATTTTATATATAACTTAAATGTAAACAATAGTTTGTAATTAATCTTACTTTTTAAAAAATTTCTAGCATGAAATTATTAGTATAGTTTATTTCTATTGTCACTGGTGTCAAAAGATTTACTACAAAAATCAAATCAGTTCTAGTAAATACATATATTTACCTGTAGTCCTCCTTTACATGGTATATGCCAGTATGTATAATAGCTTTCTTTCAATGACTCAAGCAATAGTAAAACAGTTACTAAAGGCAAGATTACATTTCAATGAAATTAAATCAGGAGTTATTATCATGGTAGGTCTTGACTCAATAGTCTTAGATCTAACTTTTCTCACCTCTAAAATGGAATTTCACCTACTTCAGAGAGCTGTTGTTAGGATGAAGTATGTATATGAAAGTCCTTGCCTTTTGTCTAGCTTATAATATTAACTCGTTAATCAAATTCACATAATGAAAAAAATGGTAAGAAGTCACTGACCCAATATAACCAATCATCTACTTGCTAGCAATAGAGTAGCCCAACATTAAGTTATACCAGAAATCCAAGATTTTTAGGTAGAAGATAAAGTGGGCTTTATACTATCATAAGTTGTAAGAGTTGTAGTCCGGGCACAGTGGCTCATGCCTGTAATCCTAGCACTCTGGGAGGCCAAGGCAGGAGGACCGCTTGAGGTCAGGAGTTCAAGACCAGCCTAAGGAAGAGCGAGACCTCATCTCTACTAAAAATTTAAAAAATGAGCCAGGCAACTAAAAATAGAAACAAACAAAAAAATGAGCCAGGCATGGTGGCAGAGCACCTGTAGTCCCAGCTACTTGGGAGGCTGACACAGGAGCATCACTTGAGCCCAGGAGTTTGAGGTGGCTGTGAGATAGGGTAACACTATAGCACTCTATCCAGGCAACAGAATGAGACTATGTCTCCAAAATAAAATAATAAAAGAGTTGTATAAAAGCAAGGAATTGTATAAAAGCAAGAGTTGTATAAAAGTTGTATAAAAGCAAGTTGTATAAAAGGAAATGACAGTTATTCCTAATTCAACCCTACTGACTACATAGATTATTTTTTTATTTTATTTTATTTTATTTTATTTTATTTTTTTTTGACAGTCATCTCAGGACAAATACATAGATTATTTAATGACAGTTCTTTACTGTTTTGGGATGTTAGAAATTTTAATTCTTGCTTACTAAGTACACAATTTACAAAAGTATTTTATGGTTCAAACTGAAATACAAAATAAAATTACATAAAATTCTCCACCTCATTCTATATATCTCATATTTCCTACATAAAACATATAAGCCAACAAGATACATAGTACTATATTTGTTTAAAGGAGAGAACTCACATATACGTATAGGTGAAATAAAGATAAACCAATTACCTTATTATTTCCATCACCAGAACCATCTTTACTCATCCCATCTTTTGCGGCAAAGTATGCTGGTGTTTCTGTAAAGGTTCTAAGAGGAGCTCTTCGCAGAATCTGGGTTTCAAAGGTCCCAAGCCTTCCTAAAACTGGTATATGAATACGGCCACAAGAAATACCTGAAAATAAAATGAAATCTAGTTGTCTACACATCAAATATTGACATGCCTCAATAAATCCCCCTGGAAATAAAAACCCCTTGAGTAAAAAGGAGGTTGGAAAAAGCTATATGGTTTTCACAGCAATAGCACAAACTGACAGACAAAACAGTGACAACCACCAGAGCCAAAGAGCTCTCAAAAGCAGGCCAAGCTTGGGCCTCTTTAAAATTCCAGGTAAATAAAGACGTTTCTTTCTGGATCTGTCCTTTGAAAGTGAGGCAAGACCAACCCAGGTCATAACAATGTATGGCTATTTCAAGGTTTGAGTGGAATTCAACATCTAATTTACCCACAGGGTTTTGAAAAAGGCCATGTAGATCCTATATTTTTATTCTTCTTATATTATTTCCACCAGTGAGAATAAGCATCTGATAGCAACTCTTGTCTGCCTCTTTGGTTATATGGGAATAATAACTGTAACAATGGAAACAAACTTCAAGTGTTTTTTTTCTTCCTTACTCCTCCAATGTTCTTGAAAAAATTATGCACTACTCCACTTATATGAGGTACTTAATAGCCAAAAATCATAGACAATGAATGGAGCGGTAGTTGCTGGGGGTCAAGGGGAATGGGGAGTTGTTTTAATAGGTACAGAGTTTCAGTTTTACAAGATGGTGATGGTTGCACAACATGAACGTACTTAGTACCATTGAACTCTATACTTAAAATAATTAAGACAGTGAATTTTATGTATGTACATAAAAAATTGGAGGAGAAACAAAGTTATATGCTATTCATTAAAATACATATTAACATTTAATGAAATATTTCCATCGAAACAAAAAAATAAATGTAATTCAGTAAATACCATGTAATCACCATTCTGCTTTCTTTCAAACGTTTTAATCTTTTGCCAAGTTTGACATTAACATTCCTAAAAAGAACTAAAGGAATAACTAACTTATTCTATAGACTAGGTTAGGAGTTAATAAACTTTTCTGTAAGGGTCAGGATAGTAAATATCTTCAGCATTATGAGCATGTAGTCTCAGCCCCAACTACTCTGCAATTGTAACAGGAAAGCAAACACAAACAATATGTAAACAAACAGGTGTGACCAGAGTTGATCCATGGGGGTCACTGTTTGCTGCCCCCTGATTTTTCTCATGTAAGTCTAAAATAAACTCCAAAATAAAGTATAATCCAATGGCAAAAAGGGCTATATTGCCTGCTGTGGGGCACCATCTCCCAAATAGTCTTTTTTTTTTTTTTGAGGCATGGTCTCACTCTGTTGCTCCGGCTTGAGGGCAGTGAGGTCACCATAGCTCACTGGCAACCTCAAACTCCTGGGCTCCTTGCCTCAGCCTCCCAAGTAGCTGGGACTACAGGCACACATCACCATGCCTGGTTAATTTTTCTATTTTTTGTAGAGACCAGGCAGGCAGGCAGGTCTTGAACTCCTGACTTCAAGCAATCCGCTCACCCTGGCCTCCCAAAGTGCTTGATTACAGGTGTGAGCCACCATGCCCAGACCCAAAAAGTCTTTGTTCCCTATACAAGAAAAGTGAATGGTCCTAGGTTAAACAAAATTCCATAGATTTAGCTCTGACTTGGGCAGGGCAAAGGCAATATATGTAACCTAAACAAATTTATACCCCTATAAAATTCTGAAATTAAAAAAATATATATAGCTCACGCCTGTAATCCTAGCACTCTGGGAGGCTGAGGCGGGATCTCTCAAACAGTTCAAGACCAGCCTGACCAAGAGCAAGACCCTGTCTCTACTAAAAATAGAAAGAAATTATCTTTCTTTCTCAACTATCTCAACTAAATATATATATATTAGCTGTGCACAGTGACGCATGCCTGTAGTCTCAGCTACTCAGGAGGCTGAGGCAGAAGGATTGCTTGAGCCCAGGAGTTTGAGGTTGCTGTGAGCTAGGCTGATGCCACGGCACTCTAGCCCAGGCAAGAGACTTAGACTCTGTCTCAAAAAAGAAAAAAAAAAAAAAGAAACTAATTTTGCCTTCCTCACTTTGTTCCCTATAAAATTTTCAACTCTGGTTTTAAATTCTTATTTATATACCTGTTAGGGCTTTTAAGAGATCATGTACATGTGTATACATTGTACCCAAATCAAAAACTGGTTTAAAATTATGTCCCTCAAACAATTTAAAAACAATTTTAGTTATATAACTCCAATTTTCTGACACAGTTGTCTGCACTGTTAGAAGTAGTCTCTTTAGTTATTTATTATCCTAGGTCACCCTTTCCAGTTCTACAAAGTACAAAAATAAATCCACAAAACTTTTCAGGAAAGATATAAACAAGAAGAATCAAATTCTCCCATCTCTATATAGTTGACAAAGAACACCAAAGAAGGATAAAAAGTTTAATGATATCCCAGTCCTTACTCCATACACTGTAAAAATTTTGCTTAACACTAAATTTGTATACTAATAAAAACCCAAAATGAACTTTTGGAGGCGGGGAAAGGAATTTCACTATGCTGCCCCTGCTAGACTTCAACTCCTGGGCTCAAGAGATTCTCCTACTTTAGTCTCTTTAGTAGTTGGGACTACAGGCACATGCCACTGTACCTGGATTGAACTACATTAGATGTTTTTCTTCTAAGTAATGTTTTCAAAAGACATTTCAAATTTTCTCAACTGTAACGTTTCCATTGTTTGCACCAAATGATGATAGCCATTAAGCTATCATTAAAATGAAATTTAGGGTAATTTGTTAATATTAAGCCAAATCTTAAGATATTTTTGTTTTTTGGGACAGGGTCTCGCTCTATCACTGAGGCTGGAATGCAGTGGCAATTTAAACATTCTCAAATTGTCTAATCATACAAAGCAATTCAGATAAAAATGCAAATCTACAGAAAGATGGAAAGAGTGTCACATAAAAGCGCTCAGCACTGTCCCCGAACTCATGTGCTACGGGATTCATCATTCCAGAGCAGCCATGAGCCACTTCTAAAGCAACACGCAAAGGCACATAAGTCTTTCCTCTGGGTCAATCCTAGCCGCAATTTACATCTTCAAAACAGTGAAAAAAGCTAATCTAAAAATTATCCTATTTTAGTAATAGGCTAAAAATCAAGTCGGAAAGAAAAAGAAAAAAAAAATAAATAAATAAAAATTGATCTATTTAGAAGATAAATTTAAATATGTAACAATAGATGAAATAGCCACATCAGTTTAAATGCTCACGTTAAACACTTCGCCCCTGCTAACACAAATTGAAAAAAAATCAACCCAAAAGCTCCATGAAGCAATGCCAGTCAACTACAGATGTATACTCCCCTTTTATTAAATCGTCAAAAATTTTATGCCAAGTTGTTTCATGACTTCGAATACCTGTCTTAATAAAGAAATAACATTATTCCTACATGCATCAGCCTTTCCTCCAAGTTTATAAAATGTTTATTTAATGGGTTTAATTAAGGCTAGTATGCTGTCTGAAGATGAAATATGCCAAAAAAGAGAAATCTTTCCTCCATCTACAAAGAGACCTGAAAAGACAAAAGAGAGAAATGTGATAAAAAATGTTGGCACAAGGGCCGGGCCCCCGTGGCTTGCACGCCTGTAATCCTAGCACTTTCTGGGAGGGCCCGACGGCGGGCCCGGATTGCTCGAGGTTGGGAGTTCCGAAACCATCCCTGAGGGCTGAGCCCCCGTCCTCTCTTTAAAAATAGAAAGAAATTAATTGACGCAC